CTCAAGAGTAGTTTTATATTTCTGGTTATTATTTGAAATGTGACAAGTTAGAATTTTGCCGGGTATTGAATATTGTTATTGTACTTCAGCTTCATTTTTGAGAAAATTGATACAGGCTGACTTCAGTTTTACCATAAAGTGGAGCACCTTATTAGTTATACTCATTACGGTTGTTGGGGACACTTTAAATGTAGTTCCTATGCTTAACAAACTATCCTGTGTAGCCATATACCACAAGAATATTAAAATATGGCTATATAAACTCACTAGATGATATCCAACTGAATACGGTTTTGCCAATATCTTTTTTCATCATTTCTGCTGAATCAATAAGTGTTTTCTTTGACATGCGGAAAAATTTAGAGAATTGAAAGTTATCATAGCTACAAAGCCATGGTTCCATCATTCAAAAAAAAATCTGAAAAAACATTTCTCCCATGAATATTATGAAAGGTTTCTTATTTAAACTTTCCATATACAGTTGTAGACGAAAAAGCACCGATTATTAAGTGATAATAAAAATAATCAGAGATTATATACGCGCTTTTCTAAAATAAACAACTTGCAACAAAACCGCGGTTAAAACCAACGCGTTCAAGCGATTCGTGTAACTGACGTCATCAACCCGTATGTCATCTTGAACCATATTATAACCGCGGCACATAACACAGAAATTTTGGTTATTCGCTTGGATTTGATTGTAGTTATCACCGCAAAATTGTGGTATTTACCCAACTCAAGAGTAGTTTTATATTTCTGGTTATTATTTGAAATATGACAAGTTAGAATTTTGCCGGGTATTGGATATTGTTATTGTACTTCAGCTTCATTTTTGAGAAAAATGATACAGGCTGACTTCAGTTTTACCATAAAGTGAAGCACCGTATTAGTTATACTCATTACGGTTGTTGGGGACACTTTAAATGTAGTTCCTATGCTTAACAAAGTATCCTGTGTAGCCATATACCACAAGAATATTAAAATATGGCCATATAAACTCACTAGATGATATCCACCTGTATACGGTTTTGCTAATTTCTTTTTTCATCATTTCTGATGAATCAATAAATGTTTTCTTTGACATGCGGAAAAATTTAAAGAATTGAAAGTTATCATAGCTATAAAGCCATGGTTCCATCAATAAAAAAAAATCTGAAAAAACATTTCTCCCATGAATATTATGAAAGGTTTCTTATTTAAACTTTCCATATAGAGTTGTAGACGAAAAAGCACCGATTACTAAGTGATAATAAAAATAATCAGAGATTATATATGCGCTTTTCTAAAATAAACAACTTGCAACAAAACCGCGGTTAAAACCAACGCGTTCAAGCGATTCGTGTAACTGACGTCATCAACCCGTGTGTCATCTTGAACCATATTATAACCGCGGCACATAACACAGAAATTTTGGTTTTTATGTTTTGTGTATAATCAAATCCAAGCGAACAACCAAAATTTCTGTGTTATGTACCGCGGTTATAGTATGGTTCAAGATGACACACGGGTTGGTGACGTCAGTTACTCGAATCGCTTGAACGCGTTGGTTGTAACCGCGGTTTTGTTGCAGGTTGTTTATTTTAGAAAAGCGGGTATATTATACCTAATTTCTGATTATTTTTATTATCACTTAATAATCAGTGCGTCTACAACAGTGATATGGAAAGTTTAAAAAAGAAAACTTTCATGATATTAATGGGAGAAATATTTTTTTCCTCAGAAGATATTGTTCACGTGTTGAATCGCTTGAGAAAATCGCTCTTATGTTCACACAAGTTTGTCGTGAATATAAAGGATATGACGCCCAAAATTTTAATGGTGGAACCATGGATTTGTAGCTATGAGAACTTCCAGTTCTTAAAACTTTTCCGTATGTCAAAGAAAACATTTATTGATTTAGCAGAAAAGATAGGAAAAAGCGACGAAAAAAAGATATTAGCAAAGCCATATACAGGTGGTCACTGTCCAGTGAGTTTATATGGTCATATTTTAATATTCTTGTGGTATATGGCTACACAGGATACTTTGTTAAGCATAGAAACTAGATTTAAACTGTCCCCAACAACAGTGATGAGTATAACAAATAAGGTGCTCTACTTCATGCTAAAACTAAAATCAGCCTACATTAAGTTTCCCAAAAATGAAGCTGAAATGAGAGACATTAGTGAAGGTTTCAAGAAGTATCCAGGTAAGTAAACGTTTCTGAATACTGCAAACCTAGGGTGATACCGCCCCCTGCATTTGACACAATTACTTCCCTATTGTTACTCTATATTTCCCTAGAAACCGGTCAATATTTCCTTGGTGGTTTCCCCCTCATGTAAGGCCTAGTCATTAATGTTTTAGAGACAATTACTGTATAGATATTATATTCAAACTTTTTTGGTTGGTCCTAATTGATGCCATCACAACCTGTCCTGTAATAGTATTTATTGGAATATACATATATATTTAGTTAATAAGTTACATCTGTTTCCACTTTTCAGTTTATTATTATTTTCAGGAGTTATTGGAGCAGTAGATGGTACCAACATATTTGTAAAGGTTGAAAAAAGTCAACAAGATAGCTACATAGACCGCTATAGAAGAACATCTATAAATCTCATGACAATATGTGATTCTAACACTTTATTCACCTGTGTGTTTTTAGGATACCGTGGATCTGCTCATGACTCACGGGTATGTGTTAACAAAAATAAGAAAACGCCTCATTTTGAAGTGAATATTTATTACATTGCAATAAAACTTCAAACTAGTATTTAAGAGGAAGTGAAAAAAGCTTTGTACCAGTTAAATTTTGGTATACAACACATTGTAGGAAAACATTAATATTTTTTTATATTTTTATACTTTAATTTCAGGTTTTTGAAAATTCAATTATGTGCAAAAACATTGAGAGACATGGGCCAAACTTCTACTTTTTGGATACTCAGAAATATCACCTAATTGGTGATAGTGCATTTGCATTAAGAACTTGGCTTATTACTCCTTACCGAGGCGACAATGTGACCAGAAAGCAAAAATTTCACAATTACTGCCTTAGTTCCGACAGAGTAAAAATTGAACATTGTTTTGGGGCATATAAGGGTAGGTGGAGAAGGGTGCAATATATGAATACCTGTAACATTTGCAAAGCAGTGGAGATTGCAACAGCTGCATGTGTTCTACACAATTTTTGCATTTTGCATAAAGACACCTGGAGTAACGATTTTTTTGGAATTGACCTGGACAGAAATATAAATCAGGCTGAACTAGAAGATAGGGGTAACATAGAAGCAAAGCGGAAAAGAAATAGAATTGCAGACACTTTATTCTTATGCAGATATAACATAGAATAATATTATTGTAACATCTTTCAATTCAAATTGAATAAAAAACACAATTATTGGTTTGCATTTTAATTTACTTATCTCTACTTTCATTTTAACTTAATTATTATTCTATACACAGGGTTTGTTAGTTATCACAAAAGGTATATTACCTTTTTTATGGATGGATTGACTTCTACCTTGAAATAAACTTCTTCCTTGAATAAAACTAAAATATTAGAACAAGAAACTACTTATTACACAATTTAAAAATCTCAAATAAAAACAAAAAGAAATAAATATTAATCGATGATAATCCTAGTCAGTGTCAGAATCGTTTGTATCACTCTTTCTTCTTTTTTTTGTTCCAAAAGCTGCCTCAACAATTTCTAAGAACCTGTCCTTTTGTTGTTCTGTTTTCTTCAAATGTTCTTTCAAAAAACTAAATTCTTCACTTCTTATTTTTCTACCCTTTTTCATTTCTCTTATCAGGTCATCATGCCGAGAAGGTGTTACCTTTCGAGTTTTTTTAAATCGGCTTACTGGTGTTGTTGTTGAGGGACCCAATTGAGTTTCCTCTGAATCTGTATGATCTGGTTGTTGCTGTTCTATTTCATTTTTCACACTTTCTGATGTTTCATCCATTGAATCCTCTAGATTCAGTGGGGTTACCTTATGTTTGCATCCTAAAAATTATATTGGTAAGTACTTCCACCTGTTTCGACTAAGGAATCTAAAGGTACACATTTTTGTTTTTTGATGGTTCATATCAGAATTTTTATAATTACAAACATGACAGAAGAAAAATTAAAATAACAATACTACATACTTGCTTAAGATAGTAATGTGAAAGTAAAAGAAGATATTAAACTAACCTAGAATGGAGTGGAGCTCATCAAAAAATGGAGGAATGTCATCAATTCTCTCACTTCCTGTTGTAGTTTGATGCTTCATGTAAGATCAATAAGTTTTTTGCAAATTCACAAACTTTTGACGACGCCGCTCTCCTCCTTTGTTCCCAAGATGGAAATTATTTTCCTCTAACTTTTTTGCTATGTCATTCCACAATTTAAGTTTTCTGTTTCTTTTGTCGTCAAAGTAAGTACTTTTTTCCTCTCTTAAGGACAACATTAAATGAGTTGCTTCATTATCCATTTCAGAAGGCTTCTTCTTTGTCCAAATCATATCATTAATAGATGGATGAATGGTCGAGTCATTTTCATTGTGGGGCATAGACCACATAGATTGAAAATCATTCTGAGGTTGATTTTCGGAGTCATTGTGCTCATGCTGAGACCCCAATGGACACATAGATAAAATATATTGCTCTGCAGCAGCAGCATCTAAAGTTTCATGCCAAACCTATTTGAATATAAAAAATATGCCACTCTCATAATTGATAAATCTTAAAGCAAAGTATGAGAGGTATCCAGTTCTGATACAGAGTTTATTATTGAATATGTGCATACCATGTAGAAAAAGTCACATAATATGTAGGAATCTAGAATCAATAGGGTCAGTTTTACCTTGCACCCCACCTCTTTAATATTTAAATAGCCCATAAATATCAGGCTTTTTCTACAAGGTATACAATATACTATTCCTTGCTTATCATACTATATAGTTACCATTCAAAAGTAAATTGGCTGTTTCAAGGTCTTTAACGCAGACATCGTAGTCTACGCCTTCATAGTTTAAAGTTAGATAAAATTGCTCCATATTATTTTCAATTTAATAAGGAACTGCAAAACTGCTATTTTAAACGTGCATATAACCTCACAAGTACGACGAATATATCCAATACCCGCCAAAATTCTAACTTGTCACATTTCAAATAATAACTAGAAATATAAAACTGCTCGGGAGTTGGGTAAATACCACAATTTTGCGGTGATAACTATGACATATAACAGCTGATTCATGACGTCACGGATCTTATAACCAAACTGATAACTATACTCGCTTGAACGGATCGGTAAATACCAATCCAGAATGGTAAATACCGTTTCCATTTGGTTATTCGCTTGATTCATGTATAACACATGACCCATGTAATGTAACTGTAACCTCAAATTTGCTGGAATGAAGTCAACAAAAAATGCCCACTTCAAAATATTTTAAATAGTGGAATGTTTCATTTTAGCATCTATTACAATCAGTTTAGTTTGTTTTTTTGAAAAATCCACAATTCATGACAATCCTAAAAAAATTCATATCGCTAGCCGCTATGGAAAGCGTTCTTTTGAAAAGCAAGTTCCGAGGCAGCTTACTGGGTGCTGTTATTGGTGACTGCACGGGGGCACCGTTTGAAGGTGACACCATCACCAGCGGTGATAAGATCGTTATTCAGCGCTACTTTGACAAACTTGAGGACCCTGAATTTAAAGGTATGTTTTGCTGTTAAAAATAAGTTTCCATATATAATCTTGTAATGACATGTATTAAAACTATTAAGCAGAATTTTCTATGAAACTTTAGTTAACATTCCTTCACAAGAGGCTTACATTAAGGGCTGTCATAGGGGCCCCATTTTGTGTGTTTTGTCATCAGGCATACAGATACATGGTTTGTACTCGAGCAAGTTGGTGAGCACTATTCTGTCTTGATGCAAAGGGGTCACCAACAGCCAAATAGGGCACTGGATTTTGCTTTGCTCTGAGCCTTCTTCAGCGCCGACCCTGACTTTACTATGTGCCCAGACAGAATTTGAAACAGTTCTGGGTACATGCATAAAAATCAACCAAGCAAGCAATTGACAGAACACAACAATGAAAACTGATGATTTAGTACCACAGTACTATGTCTTGCTTGATGATCTTACAAGCAACATGTACTATTGGTATGATATTTGTAAGAGTCTTTTAGATATTATATATATATATATATATATATATATAAAACGTGAACAGTAGTCATTTCTATATATATATATATATATATATATATATATATTGCATCTTCAGTGGAAATATATCTTGTGAGTGCTACAGTTTTGTGTATTCCACAAAGTGTAATTTTAGAACATCTCTTTTTGCGATTGAATTCTAGACTTACCTATGCTTTTGGGGCAGTTCAACTGCATTTAGGGACATGTTTGCCTAGAATAAAAAAGTAGTGAGAAATATTGATGTTTTTTGCCACCACAGTTGTGTAGAGATCTGTTTTTTAGATTTAAAATTTTAACTGTGCCATTGTTATTTATTTATTGAATGTGTATTTGTATATTTGGTAATAGAGTACGATTTTTAAGAACTACCAATTTACATAAATAGTTGTCTCTTGATGTAGGAATGATTTTGTCTTGCCACATAGCAATTTAAATGTAAAAAAGAGGTAACCACATGTTTTGGGGTTAAATATTTCTAATAATTCACCCATCTCTGTTAAGGAGTCTGTAAATTTAAAGATTAAAAATTATATATGTTATTACTCTCTAAGTGAATTTTTGGACAAATGAAATTGGACGTTGGAGTTTTGTGTGTGCTTTTATTGACAAAGTTAATACTTGTAAAGTGTTTATTATGAATAATTAATAGATATACTAGAAAGCTGATTTGTCATGTACAATATCATGGCTGAACTTTTTTTATTGGTCTCATTCTAGCACCTTTCAAACCATACACAGATGATACAGCAATGACAAAATCTGTAGTAAAATTTTTGACTGACAAGCCAGAACCAGATTACAAATTTTTGGCTAGGCTATTTGTTAATGAGTACATGAAAGAACCAAGAAGGGGTTATGGTGCTGCAATTGGTAGGTAAACATCATATAATAAAATTGAAAGGAGTAGTATTAATTTTTTCCATTCACCTGATTTATTACTTTAGATGCAATTAAAAAAACCTAAATATATAATAAAAAAAGTGTTCCTCAAAACCTTAAGTACATACAGTAATGGATGAAAGTATATAGACAAATTAATATTGTGCTGTATTTCTTTTTTAACTTGTTTTATTAATACACCGACCTGTATACATAATTCGCTATAGCATAATACTCACTTATACATAAATAAATTCATTAGACTCCCTTCAATAAAAAATTAATTGAAAAAACTGGAACTATGAAGGACAAAAATATATAGACAAAGCAAAACAATTATAGAAAAAAGAAGCAAAGTTCATTGAATTATAGAAAACCAACCATGTTTGTGTTAATATTTTGTAGCATAACCATTATTATCAATCACAACATGGCATCGTCTCGGCATAGATTGTAGAAGTTTCTTGATATAAGATTCATCAATCTGTCTCCACTTTTGCTCTAAAGCGGCATCCTTGTTTAAATAATTCTTATCTCGTATTTGCTTATGTCTTCCATATAGGGTAACATGACATGCTTTAGTATGTCTGGTGTATACCAACTTATCCATAATGCCATCTATTCTATTTAAAGGTCCCATCCCAAACCCTGAAAAGCACCCCCAAATCATAACAGACCCGCCTCCATGTTTGACAGTGGGCAAAGTATACTTGGAGTTCAATCTTTGTCCACTAGGACGTCTAACGTAATGAACACCATCTGATCCAAACATATTGAACTCGGATTCGTCACTGAAACATACCCTCTTCCAGTCACAGATCAAGATGCAACCGTGCAAATTGTAATCGGTCCTTACGGTTTTTCCTCGAGATTAGCGGCTTCTTACTCGGGCGACGTGCAAATAACTTGAAATCATTTAATCTTCTACTTATAGTTTTCGTAGAAACACTGGCAATTCCTTTTGTCTCGATTTCGGCTTTTATTTGTCTTGGGGGTTTTAAACGGATCTTTGGACGAAATTACTTTTATTAATCTAACTGATCTAGCTTTTAGCTTTCTAGGCCGACCACTTCTCTTAGAGGCTTCCAAGATACCTTTTTGTTTATATTTGTTCAATATTGCCCAAACTGCTTTACGCTTCAGCTTCAAATTTTTGGCAATCTCGACTTGACGTTGACCATCTTTGTATAACTCAATGATCTTAGTTTTCACATCAAAAGAACTTTCTGGACCACGCGGCATGGTCTTCAAATCACTCAACTTATTCCACAATACTTGATGAACACAAACTAATCCTCTTCTGACACGAAACTGTACTAAACTAATGTTGAAAAGAATTTGTCTACATATTTTTGTCCCTCATAAAAAAGCGCTTATATTCAGACTTGTATTGTGTTCATTGCAGATAATGTAAAAACAAGGAATTTAGTTTATCTACCAATAACACATTTGTTTATGGAGAAATGAAGTATGAATTCGTTTTCTAAAGGTATTTAGGTACTACTACTGTTCTTAACTTTGGCTTCATGATCATGAGTAAATGTCTGATGTGTCCTGACAAGGGACCTATTCTGTTGAAGACTGCTGTTCAATGTAAATCTTGCTCTATATATTATAAGTCATGTGGTAACAGGGCAAAGTTGTTGCCTGATGGAAGTTACAGGGTGCGCCAGAGAAACTTACTTATTTGAAAGGTCAATAAAAACAAAATTACTTCAATTATTGTTTTATTTTTTTTTTATTCGAGAATACAATATCCCAATTTTTTTTTCATGTAGTCTTGAAAATGACATCGGATAAATGGCGACCTCCATTGCGCATACACTGATGAAGTCGATTTTTGAAATTCGTATCCACTCTTTGCAGCATATCAATCGGTATGTTGGCAATGGCGTCGCGAATGTTGTTCTTGAGGTGTGCTATGGTCCGTGGTCGATCGACATAAACCAGAGATTTCAAATAACCCCATAAAAAGAAATCGCAGGGAGTCAAATCTGGAGATCGTGCCGGCCATTGGAGATCGCCTCTGAGAGAGATGAGGCGGTCGGGGAAATGTTGTCGCAACAAATTCATCGAGTCTCGTGCGGTGTGTGCTGTGGCTCCATCTTGCTGAAACCACACGTTCCTAACGTTCATTTCTTCGAGTCTCGGAAGAAAAAATTCCTCGATCATGTTCCTGTAACGAGCTCCATTCACGGTAACTGCGCGTCCGTTTTCTTCAAAAAAATAAGGACCAATTATTCCCATTACCGACATCGCACACCAGACTGTAACTCGCTCACAGTTAAGTGGCTTCTGGTGAAGCTCACGTGGATTCACACCAGACCAATAACGCATGTTTTGCTTGTTGACGCAGCCGGAAATGTGGAAGTGAGCCTCGTCACTGAAAAAAACGACCGCGTCTTCAGGCAGGTTGTCAACCAGCATTTCACATGCATTTTGACGGGCAACAAAATCGCTTTCAGTTAATTCTTGAACAACAGCCAATTTATAGGGATGAAAATGGAGGTCTTCATGGAGAATTCGTCGAACAGTAGTGTCAGAAATTCCCATAGCAGCTGCGTGTTTGCGAGCCGAACGCCGGGGAGAACGCACAACTGACTGCCTCACTCTTTCGACATTTTCCGGAGTTCTGATGGTCCGTTGAAGTCCATTTCTGGGTTTAGCGACACTTCCACACTCCCGAAATGAGTCAACCCACGACAGAATCGAATTACGGCCAGGAACGAGTCTGTGAGGAGGAATTTCAAAGCGAGCGCGGAAGGCACGTTGCGTAGCAACAACTGAGCGACCGTTAGAAAAGAAGCTCTCGACTGCGAAGGCCCGCTGTTCTCTAGACCAGAGCATGATGGCAACTGACTGGAGCGAGAAATAAACTTGGGAACTTCCCACTCCAGATGCGCCGCCTCTCGCCCCTCTACCCGCCCAGCTCACCGCGCGGGAATTTTTTCAAATAAGTAAGTTTCTCTGGCGCACCCGGTATAATTACTGTTGTGGTACTGGTGGTCAAGTTCATGATGAAGATTTTGCTGACAAAGTAGATGTGTCATTGAGTGCCATTAAATCAGATATTCAATCCTCCAGCAACAAGCTAACATAACTTGAAAAAAAGGTTGATACACTTGAAGAGATTGTTACTGGTGAGTCTTTATATGATGAAATGAAAGATAGGATGAATAGAGAGAAGAAATTTATTATATATAACTTTGATGACTCAGTGAAGGCAGCTGCTACTGATTCTGTGAAAATAAAGAAATTGCTCGAGGATACAAAGCTTGTTATTCCATTTAACTTTGATGATCTTAAAGTTTTTCGACTTGGACGTGATTTTGTTGAAGGAAAGAATAGATTAGTCAAAGTTGTTATGAAATCCTCTGATAACGTACACTGGATTTATCATCATAGTAGTGAAATTTTTAAAAATAATGTTTTTATCAGTAGTGATCTTACAAAAAAACAACAAGCTCACATGCAAAAACTTAAAAATGAAGTGAAGCATAGATCTGACAAGGGAGAAAAGGATTTAAAAATTAAACATATAGGTAAACCAACGATTGTTAAATCTATTGTTGCTGATAATCAATTAAATGAAAATGATGAAGATACTGAATGACTATATGATAGTTACCATAATTTGAGGATTTTTTACCAAAATATTCCTAGTGTCAGAGGAAGGACTGATGAGTTTTATTCCAGATTATGTCTTATTAATGAATATGACATTATAGTTTTGACTGAAACTTGGCTTGATGAAGACATTACTACTGCTGAATTACAAATCCAAGATTTTACTGTGTACAGATGTGACAGGTCTTTATTTACAAGTGTGAAGAAATCTGGTGGTGGTGTTTTGATTGCAGTCAAAAAATTTATTAAGTGTTTAAATGTTATTTTAGTTAATAACTCTTATGAACAAGTTATTGTGCGTATAAAAACTCATGCAAAGTCATTGTTCATTAGTGTGGTCTATATACCACCCCTTTCAACCTCTGATTACTATAGAGAATTTGTTGATAATCTTCAAAATTCATTGCTAAATTACATTCAGGACTTCAATTCATATGATCTCTTATTATTGGGTGATTTTGATTTACCGGGGTACAGATGGTTTAAAAATGATTATTTAACTCAGTATAACACTTACATTAACTCATCGGGGAATATTCTTGACCTGATTTTTTCCCACAGCAGTGATGTTTCTTATGAAATCGCTGATGAAACTATTTTTGATTGTGATAGTTATCACTTACCTTTTAAAATAAATATCTCAGTGCCTAAAATTGATACACTGAAAACTTGCAATTATATTTATGATTTCAAAAATGCAGACTATGCAGCAATTCTAAGTGAATTACACCGCCTGGATTGGACTTTATTTAATAACAACTGTGATGATGTTAATCTACTAGTTAAAGCTTTAGAATTTAATATTAATACTTTGATAAGTTTGTACCAAAGATCTTAATTAAGTCGTGTAATTTTCCTTCATGGTTCTCAAGAGATTTAGTTAATGCTGTTAAAGCTAAGAAGAAGTATCATAAATTATATAAATTGTATCATTCTGATTACTATTACATGTTGTTTTCTAAAGAGCGTACCAATTGTGATATCTTACATACTAAAGATAAAACTAATTATATTAATAAAGTTGAGAACTCATTAGCTGATGGTAGTCAATTTTTTTTAATTATGTTAATTTTTTATGTAAATCTAAAGGTTATCCATCAGTTATGCATTATGGTAGTTAAACTGCTGATAATGGTAAAGATATTACTAACTTATTTGCTCAGAAATTTGGTGGAGTTTATTCCAATAGTAACTTGACAACAACTGAAATTGATTGTAATATTTATGATCGCTTGAGTTCAGTTTGATTCTCGATTGATGATGTTGATAAATCTGTTGAAAAATTAAATGTTAAATCAGGACCTGGTCCTGACAATATTCATTCGTTAATGATTTCTAATTGCTCGCAATTCCTATTACCGAAATTAACTGAAATTTACAATTTGTCATTGCAATCTGGTGTTTTCCCTTGCTGTTGGAAAACCTCCTTCATCAAACCATTATACAAAAAAGGTGATACATCTGATGTCAACAATTAGAAACCAATTTGTAAGCCGAATGTTTTAGCAAACATTTTTGATCAGTTGGTACATGAAAAGCTTTCCTGTTATTAATCAAGGTTTATTATTACAAATCAACATGGCTTCATGAAGAATAAATCAACTATTACTAATTTAAGTTTATATACAGAAAATTTAGTTGATGCAATGAGCAATGAATTAGCGACTGATGCTATTACAGAACTGGTATGCCAATGAATTTTACCGATCACAACCACACAAATATTTCAAACAAAATTATGATTCCAACGCTTGAAAGTGCTAGGAACAGGAATGATGTTTTATTTGCTTATAATTTATTTAATAACATTATTGCTAGTTTCAGTTTATTGTCAAAATTCAGATTTTATGTGCCACCAAGAATGTTAAGACGTAATAATGTTTATTTTCATGTTATGCCTCCTAAATCAGATCTGATAAATCATTCTCCTGTTTTTAGATTATCTAAACTATGTAATGAACACAGTAGTTGGCTTGATTTGTATAATTCGAGTAATTATATTGTTAGAAATTTATAAAAGTCTATGTTTACATTTGAGTAGTGTTTTGATTTTGTAATATTTGAATTTATGATTACTAGATTACTGCATTTCCTCATTTGAACATCTGTATTAAATTTCGCAGATGATTATGTTAATCTCAGTTGATTGCCTTATATACTATTATATGTTACTGTTACCACATAATATGTAGCGCCACTTACGCGACGTTTACGGTTCATTTTTCTATTTATAATACACATGTATAATGGGTTCGCCCGTAAGTTGAATAAATAAATAAATAAAGTATTCATATTTATCTATATACTTTTGTTCATTACTGTATATAGCAATTTTGTCACCGTTTTTGAGCGTTTTTCAGTAAAATTACTTTTATTTGGATTATTTTAATATATGGGAAACAAAAGTAAAAATTTCGTTTTTGATTGTATCTGTTTTGTATTCATTTATGGGTATTTGAAGTGATAGTGAAGATAATACATTACAAAATATTGTTTGAAATATTTCTAGGAGAGGTTTTCAACAAAATGAGATTATCAAAATTTGACGATGTATTCAAACCAGCAACAGAACAATTTCAAGGCAAGGGCTCATATGGAAATGGTGGAGCAATGAGAGTAGCTCCTATTGCTTTGTACTACCATGATAATTATGATGCCATGTTAGGAGTAGCCACAAAAGCTACTAAACTTACCCATACTAATACCTTTGCAATACATGGTGCTCTCTTACAATGTATAGCTGTCCGAGAGGCACTGTTAGCTGATCCAAAGAAGAAACTTGATCCAGAGGAATTTGTTGCATCATTGCAAGAAAAGATGAAGAAAATTGAGAATGCCAATGTTGATAGGGACTTGGAAAGTAGTAGGTATGACATTGTGAATTTAAACTCCTCCAATCAAAATTCCTTTTTAAATCACAAATTGTAGACAAGTTTGCATAGTAAATAAGCTAGATAGTAGTTGAGAATGACAATCCATAACGTACACTCTTTAACTTCTTTACTTCCAATCTTTCAACTGAACGATTCAGCCGTCTTCAGGGCTACAAAAGTTAATTACAAATACAGGGTTATCCAAATTAAGTGTCCACCATTAGTAACTTTGTTATTAGTGAAAATACAAAGTTGTTTGAATTAGCAAACTAGTAGCATTTTTAACGCTGGTAAAAATGAGAAATAAAAAAAAAACAATTGAGAGTCGTTATTTTGATTTTTTAAGTAAAATAACATTTTTTTAAATGGAAACCCCTGTATATTATATTTTTTTCTGTTAAAGCATCAAATTTTAAACAAAAAAGCTTACAATAACTTTTCTCCTAGGTTACAAATTGTTGAAGTTATGGCCTCCAATCTGAAACAATTAAATTGTATCGACAAACTTTATTTTCAACATCAACTTATAATCTTACAAAATACAATAACAATTTTTTTTAAAGAAGATGCTCGAAAACACCACCTTGTTCTTCAATACATTTTTGGGCACGTTTTTCAACTGCTCGAACTGTCTTAAGTATGGTCCTACCATCTATCTGGGTTATCTTTTCCCTAACTGCAGTCTTTAACGCGTCAAGGTTATCGTACCTTCGCTTGTAAATTTGGTTCTTTAAGTAACCCCACAAGAAGTAATCAAGTGGGTTTAGATCTGGTGATCTGGGAGGCCACTGTATTGGGCCATTTGTTCCTATCCACTGATCATTAAAAGTAGTACTTAGAAAATGATAAGTACCTCTGGAGTTGTGGGCAGGTGCGCCATCTTGCTGAAAATGCAGATGATGTCTACTTATAAGATCCAATTCGTCTAAGAAATTAGTCAGAATTTCTGACATAAATTCCACATATCTTTCACCAGTTAGGGTTCCCTCATAAAAGAACGGGCCAACAATTTTTGAACCAATTATACCGCACCAAACGTTGAAACTGAAACGGACTTGTGGGCCTCTTGGATGTACTAACAAAAGATTTTCTCTTGACCAATAATGGTGGTTTTTTCTATTAAACATTCCAGAATTTGAAAAATTTGATTCATCTGTCCATAAAAGGTAACGAAAGTTATTTACATTTTGGCGATAGAAGCTAAGATACCAATGGCAAAAAACAAGTCTTCTCTCTGGATCCCCTGCCAAAAGCGTTTGAACTGGTCGGTACTTATACGGAATAAATTTGTATTTTTTTAAAATCCTTTGAACAGTACCATAACTGAAATTAGAGTCCTTGAGAATATCTGCTATTGAATTCTCACGATAAGCTTCAAAATATCCAATAACTGCAATTTCCGTGGCCTCGCTTATTATGAATTCTTTTTTTGCCCTTGTTTTAGCAAAAACATTTTCGTTGCCCCTAAATTTTCGATAAAGTCTCAGAAAATATCGTTCATACGGTTGAATGCGAGCGGGATATAATTCACTGTAGTATTCTCTTGCTCTCAAGGAGGGTTTTCTGCACACTAAATAGCATTCTAACATATCACACTTTTCTTCATGGGAGAACATTTTTCTTTAAATTAATGACACAATAAAGCTTATAAACAAGTATTTACACTAATGTTTGACATTATTTGATTTTATCATTGTTTTCCAAAGCCTTCTAGTTGCGAGTATGTCCAGTTTAACAATTTGTCGCTTATCTTAATGCTGTCAAATCGCGAACGCCATGTTGTTTTCATAGCCGTCTTAATATTATAATACTGCAAATAATTAAAAATATTTATCGTTATTTTGACTTTATTTTTGACTTTAGCGGAAAAGTCATTATGAACTTTTTTGTTTAAAATTTGATGCTTTAACAGAAAAAAATATAATATACAGGGGTTTCCATTTAAAAAAATGTTATTTTACTGAAAAAAATCAAAATAACGACTCTCAATTGTTTTTTTTTATTTCTCATTTTTACCAGCGTTAAAAATGCTACTAGTTTGCTAATTTAAACAACTTTGTATTTTTACTAATAACAAAGTTACCAATGGTGGACACTTAATTTGGATAACCCTGTATAATAAGCAACATTATTGTGTGTACGAGGGATGTCTTTTAAGTTTTGCATATAGAAACATAGTAGGCCGTGCGGATCGAATGTCAGAACTGAATCTTAACGTCACTCTTTAGTAAACCTAAATTCAAAGTTTCACAACAATACGTGCGGGGTTCTCACTACAGTGAATTTTTAAGTGTCACCAAGTCATTAGAAAAATGGAACTCAACCGAGAACATTTTCGCGCCATAATTTAATACAACTTTCAGAGACAATTATCGTAACAAGAATGCCTTGCTGAGTTATTGTCTGTGTTCGTGAACGAAGCGCCACATCAGTGACAATTTCCCGTTGGTATGGAGAATTCAAACGTGGACGGGTGAGTCTTAGCGTCTATTCCAGGGTGGGTGCACCAAAAACGGCAGTCACCCAGGAAAACGTCGATGCTGTGCGCAAACTCATCATTGAAGATAGACATGTGACATATCGCGAGATTGAGGCGTCCTTGAAGATCTCAAAGACCTCAATTCAAAAAATTTTACATAGAGAATTAGGAATAAGAAAATTAGTTTCTCGTTGGATACCCCACCTGTTGACTGAAGAGCAGAAAGCAGCCAGGGTTAATTGGTGCCAGAAAACGCTTGACCGTTTCAATTCCGGAAACTCAAAAAATGTGTACAGCATTGTTAGTGGTGATCAATCGTGGATTTACTGTTATGAACCAGAAAATAAACGACAGACGGCTGTTTGGGTGTTCCAAAAAGATGGGCGCGACATTTGTGTCAAAAGCGGGTCATATTGCAACAATTCCTCTTAATGAACAAAGAACTGTTACTGCGGATTGGTATACCATCATTTGTTTGCCAAAAGTCATCACCGAGTTTCGAAAAATCAACCCCGAAAGAAGATCATCCTCCATCAAGACAATGCAAGCTCGCACACAGCCCAAAAAACAAGGTAGTATGTATTTAACGGAAGAAAACGCGGAATTATTGGAGCATCCTCCATATAGTCCCGATCTAAGTCCTAACGATTTCTTTACTTCCCGAAAATTAAACAGACTGCGTGGTCAAAAGGTTCCAGTCACCAGAAGAAGCAGTTGACGCATTTAAAAATGCCGTTTTGGATAAGCCAGCAAACGAGTGGAAAATTGGCGCATGCAGATGTGTATTCATCTTCGTGGAGAATACTTCGAAAAACAATAAAGTCATTTAAAACTACCTACCGTGTTGTTTTATTTCCATATGCAAAACTTAAAAGACATCCCTCGTATATGTTCTTAATCAGTACTATCTTAACAAGACAGTAGGGCAAATAATCCAAAAGAAAAGACAGACCATCAAGTACAAATTTGGAATAGAATGTGGATTATACCACCACATGACAGAAACCTCTCAAATGTTGATTGCTGAATGTGAATAAAATTTTTAGTATAGTCCCGTGAAATTTGAAGGCATAGTTAATAATAAATAACCAAAACATCCTTTGTAACCTAATATGAACTACAAAGTAACTGATAAATCTTTTATAGATGGCTTCTGGTTTAATATTGACTTTTTTGTGTCAGTGCATTAGAATTGCATGATTCTATCATGATGAAAGTTTTTTTAACGCTGGTTAACTAACCCACTAACTGAATTCTGAGATGGTTGAGGTAAAGCCATAGAAATTTTCTAGCCCAGAGGATAGAGCATACCAAGATAAACTCAAAATAGTTGAAGATTTAATTGGGAAAAGTTATGAAGACCTAGATGAAGAAGTTATCTTCCAGTTAGGAAATGGAATTAGTGCATATGAATCAGTACCTACAGCCATCCACTGTTTTTTGAGGGCACAGAATGATATTGCACGTATTGAGGTAAATATTCTTGACAAAAATCAGTAAATTTAATAAACTTAGATTTCACAAAAATGATATAGAACACTCTTACAAATTTGCTATATAGTCATGATACTACGGTAGATTATTGTCTACAAATAATTGAGCCATATTGTATAATTTTTCATTTCAGACTGGGAATCAGTTCAGGAGAACCATACAATATGCAATCAGTTTAGGGGGTGACACAGATACCATAGCAAGCATGGCAGGTGCAATTGCTGGGGCATACCTTGGTGAAGAGGCTGTCAACTCAGAGTTGATCAGGCATTGTGAGTTTACCCAGGAGATGACTGAGGTGGCTGATAACCTTCTAAGTGCCAAAGGTGAATTTCCAAAGTGAAATTATTTTGCATTGTGGGTGTGGAATGGAAAATATTTTTAAACCATGTTTATAGTAATGGGGTTTGGTATTGTATAATAATGTAACAAAAACATCGTTCTTACCGTTTTAAGTCCAATTTATTACTCCAACACTAACTTAAATCACTTGCAACTAATTTATAACTATGTCGACTGGACTATTATTTCATCATATTTCGCGTTTGCAGAAGCCATCTAGATGACGGTAGATAACTCGAATCTCGGCCGAAGATTCTAATTATCGCCGCATGCCTTATAACGCTCTGGTTGCCTCCATTCAGTGTTGCCAGGCAGATCAGACCTAAAAACCTCTACCAGCCATCCGGAAAGTTCGCTACTTTGCCGCTATACAAAGGAATGCCTTTACTTATTTAATTGAGGTGCACTAAAACGGCCAATAAAACCAAATAAAACTATTGAAATCTATAGTTTTAGTTCACCCCAAAAAGCTACCGCTGATTTTCGTTTAAGCTGTTCTTTTTCTTAAAAAGAAAAATTTTTTTTTTCAGTTATGAAAACGCCAAATTACTATCAGCAACATGTTTAATTTTTTTTAAAATAACATTAATATGTATTAAATTTTCCGTGAATTTGAAATTCAAAACATTATTGGATTCTATAAAATCAAGATGTTCCATCCACGTATCTTTTACAGGAAATCTTTTAATTGAATCGGTAGCAGCTTTTTGGTAAAAATGCAAGCATTTTTACTTAAATTGTTGAACGTCACCTTTATCTAATTTTTTTAATATACAATACGTCTCCAGGCTAATCCCAATTTGAATTTCTTCTGTTGGTAGTAAACAATACGGATGGAAAAAATTTAATGTAAATAGGGATATACAAATATACAATCTATAGTATTATGGAATAAAAACAAAAGGGTTTGATGAGACAAAAAGATTTCTGGGAAGTACCGGAGCACAGCTAATACGATTACGAGGTAATCCTAGCCGAGCCGATAAAGCAGACATGACAACCGGCATACCAGCAATCAGTAGCGCCTTGTCCTTAAACATAATTTGAACATAAATAAATGTATGTATTTAATATCTAAATCGTTAAATAATTAAAAATGAATTGTCCCAATCTAAGTCGAAAAAGTCGCTACAAGCAGGTTTGTTTTTGAAAATTGCCTCTACGTCTTAAACTAATCAAAAAGTCGCTATTTTCGCGACAAGTCGCTACGAACGGCAACACTACGTCTCATTGGTACCCAGAGTTTCAGTTATACGAGGGCGTTACAGTAAAAACATGTTTTACGTAGAATTTGTTTTACCTGGACAGACACAAATCAACATAGAAACACCGTCATGCAGTCATGCTGCTTCCCAAGGAATTGATGCTTCCAAGTCTTTTAATGTCAGTCTGAAATATGTGTGCTTTTACGTGCAATACAAAGTATCAGTGAAAATAACAAGAAATTAGTCCATTCCTATATAAATATGAACTTAAATAAGTGTTTATACATTTTGTATGAATAATGTAAATTAATAATAGTATTTATTTGTATATTTTGTGCTTAAAATATTGCCCTGTTTTTTAAACAAAACTGGAAATATGTAATATTAACCTAGTGGGTTTTTTGTTTTAGTCGGGTAGAGTACTATTATCTGAAACTAAAATCAAATCTTCCACACAAATTAAACAATACACCTGTTTAAAATGTAAGTTCATTTCGATTATCCCTGTTAGTATGTATCTGATCCTAATAATCATTTATTTGGAATGAAAAACAAATTACTGGTAAATTATGTTTTTCTAGTATAGGTTAGGTATGTAAACGTGCTTTTTCACTTTATAGCAGCTGTCCATTTAAATTCTATTTCATGAGAATCAATCATGTGTTGACGTCTACTGAGGTAAACAGCTGATGAGCATGTGATATCTTTATATTTGTAACGTTGGCAATAATGAATCGGATGTAAATATAGTGAAACGTGCTTGTAGCATATTTTTTGTATGCAAATGAACTTTTCTAAATAAAAAAGGGTTGTTAGTAAGTAGAAAACGAATCTGTAGCTTACCAAAAGCCCAAACAAAATAAGGCTGTGTCTACCTGGCGTTGACGGATCCGTTAGAATTATGTCATTCGTCGATATGGGGAATTTTGAAATATTACTAGATTATCAGCTGTTATTCTATCGCAATGAATACTCGTGAAAAGACATTACTTCCTTGCTCAAATTTCAACCTAGTTTGTGGAGATGACACAGAAAACATGGTAGAAACATATGTGCAACGTAACATGAACACATTCTGGCCCCGTCTTAGAGATCTACCGGATAGCACCTCCGTGTTCGACAGTAGTTAGAGACCATCTAGCACCTATAGACAATCACAACATCCATAGCCAAGAGAAAAATTTCCCATGGGCACAAAGGTTTCTATTGGACAATTTTAGAGATATCGAGGACCAAAGATGAGGAATCTAAGTACCCAGTAATACGATTTCCGCACAATTCTCTATAAATTTTAGCAGAGATCACTGTTTTGAGCTGTCAAACCACGTAAATTACATTTTACATGCAATTGGGTCGTAGTCGTGCATTCGATTTTTGTCAGACGGCAGAACGCGATTTTTTCTATCTCATAGATAATTACGTGATGATAAATCGAAACTATTCACTGTATTAGCAAGTTAGCACGGGTGCCAAAATAGGAAAAGTATTTTGGTACGGTACTGACATCATTTAATATTATGTATTTAGTGATGTGGCTTAACGTTCGCCTCTTAACTCCTCTACGGCGACTTGGGTGTCTCATTTTTCAAAATAATAATAATAAATGCAATTTTTGACTGTAATAGGAAGTAGCGCAAATGCCAATTCGGAGAAAATATTTTTTTAGAGTGATGCAATTGCGTATGCAGAAATCTAAATACCGAGAGAATGTGACTGCTGTGAGGACTTAAAGACACTTTGTTGATCTGATTTTGGAACCTCAAAGATAGTAGAACTGGGAAAGACCTAATAGTTCCACAATCTTGACACTGTAACAGGAAGTTCGTCCGAGGCTCCCGGACCTCTCAACATCGTGCCTTGACTAGTTCGGATCTCTAGTCCAATACTTCAATTTCTGGATTGGTCCGAGACTACTTGAATTTCCAGTTCTGTTACCTTTCACTTGTCTTCCTATAGGAGGTAGACCCGCGTAGAACCTGACATAGTGTGATAGAATCATAGCTCATTGAAACACTCACTTTGCGCAGAACGTTGCCTCTTCTGTTCTCCAGGTAATCCAGAGAACGTGTTCAGTTAACGAATTCAATTTTATTCGGTTTTATGGATGCAACGAATTTTTACAAGGGTAGGCGTCATGGAGAATTATGTCAACGAATTTAGAAATTGATAATCTTGGTCGGCTACAACACTCTAGGAACAATAAAGCGGTCGTACCGGCCAGCTGTGGATGTGCGAAATTCGACAGAGTTAGGATGAGGCGCAGAAGCCTCGCGGGCCCATCTGGCAGGCTCAGCGCGCGGTAGCTTCATGGAGGAGAGCTCTAAGGAGTAAAGCTCGATGTCATAGCTGTAGCCCGCCGTTCGTGTGAAAAGGGCCCGAAACCGTCCTTTAGAAGAAGTGCATTGATTAGTTGGGCAGGCGTCCACTGAACAGTATCTAGTAGTTGGAGGGGCAGCATCCCAAACGTGTGAGCAGAAATAATAGTTCTTCTTAAACAAATAACCCAACGTTTGCCAGAAGAAGCAATTTTATTGGTTCTGTGGCATAACTCGGTCATCCATATTTTTGCTGCTTGAACATCCTACTACCATGTTGTGACTTTTACAGGAACTGTTTCAAATATTGTTAGTGGAGCTACGATGCGAACATAAGCAACATTACTTAATACTCATAATATTAAATGATTTTTCCTATATTGGCATTCGCGCTACTTCCTAACACATTTAATGCAAAATTGTGATTTATCATCTAATCTATGAGACACCCAAAATCACGTTCAACCAACTAGGAAAAATCATGTGCACAAATACGACCTATATCAAATATCGTTTGAGATGTTTGACAGCTCAAGAAAGGTCATAACATAAAGACCGAATTTATATGTATTTACATGTTTTTACATATAACATAATATTTTAGGGTTTTTTCGGATAAAGACATATAACATAATATAAAATGGCATTTTGTTTTTTTTTATTCAGACTTAACACATTTATTATTACTCATTGTTATGTAAATCTGACAACGGTGCATAAATTATAAAGACTACAAAGCATATCGGTGATTCCCCCAAAGCGTATCGGTGATTTCCCGATTAATAATTTGGCGCCGTGCCGTGCACCTGTCGCAGTCTTTATTTAGAAAACTTGAGTAGTAAATAAACACGTATTATTCTTCGCTGCCGTTTAATATTTAAAAAGATCGCCATGCTGAAAGTATCAAGCTCTAAAGCTGATTTACTTAAGAAATGGATAAAGAATGCTAAACATTTATCCACTGATGGAACAGTTGTATACTGTAAGCCTGTTCAAAGCAAGTGAGTATATGTATTAATATAATAATTAATTAATCTTTCATTATCTACGGAGCTATTATTGTAAATATTCATTATTTCAAGGTTTCAAGTTTTTTTTAAGAGCTCGTTTGATTTTAGGTATCCTCAAACCAGAAATTTCAGATCGATCAACACCTTGCTACAGCCATTCACAAGGAAATGAGAAACGATTTAACGGGAAAGTGCAACAAACGTTTGTTTCAACTGCATTATGTGGCAGCTCCCAACAAAACCAGGATTCTAAAATTGAATTTTATTTTGATTTATGCAACTCCATGGCACAATCAAACATACCATGGAATAAATTAGAACAGCCGGCGTTCCGTAAAATTTTAGAAGAATATTGTAACCGGCATATCCCAAATGAATCCACATTGCGCAAAAACTATTTGAAGAAATGTTACCAGGTACGTTTAGAAAATATTAGGGAAAAGTTATGCAACACAAATATTTATATTCAAGTTGAAGAAACAACAGATGCATGTGGTCGTTATATTGCCAATATACTTGTTGGTATTTTACCCCTCCAGTGTCTTATTTAATTAATTCTGCAGCCTTAGAAAAAACCAATCACTCGACCGTTGCACGTTTTATTGATGATAGTTTAACCCTACTATATGCACCAAATCCAGTTAAATCAGAAAACGTAAAATTGATGCTTTCTGATGCGGCCGCTTATATGATCAAGGCTGAAAAAGCTTTACTGGTATTTTACCAGGAATTAATACATTTCACCTGTATGGCTCATGCATTGAATAGATTAGCCGAATTAGTACGTGCAGAATATATCCTTCTTTTTTTTATACTCCAACTACCACGAAGGCCTAAGGCCTAAACACCCATTGGGTACCGTGGGGCTATAGGGGGATACAGGGGAAAGGGGAACGCCACACGGACTCTGGCGAGGGAACACGTGTGCATGCAACATGCACACATTCTGGCTCCGCCTACGAGATCCGCCGGGTTCGACAGTCAGAGACCGTCTACCACCTACGGACTATCACAACATCCATAGCCAAGAGAAAAATTTCTCCTGGGACGGGACTCGAACCCGCACAGCGCACGGCGACTGATCAGGAGACCGAAGAGTCTACTACTGCGGCCACCGCTGCTGCCTGTTAATAATTTAATTAATAACGGAAAAAAGGTCTTTTTAAATGCTCCCTTAAGGGTAGAATTTTACAAAAAAATGGCTCCTGGTTTGCCCTTACCAACTGAGGCTGTTATTACAAGATGGGGTACATGGCTCAACGCTGCCTTGTTTTATGCAGTTAATTTCGTAAAAATCAAAGAAATTTTTCTTTCTCTTGACGCTGATTCTATAGCACTTAGATCTTGTAAGGAATCGATACTAGAGTCAAACATTTTAGAAGACTTAGCCTTTATTAAAGCTCATTTTTTCATGTTAGCAAAAGCAATAATGGAGCTGGAAACTACCCAGTTGTCATTAAACGACCCTTTCAGAATCATAGAAAAGGTGATTGAAGAACGAAGTCTTATTCCTGGAGAAATTGGAAACAAAATTAGGGTTAAATGGGAAAGTGTTTTATCTCGCAATCCTGGATACCAACAAATAAAAAATGTTTGTTACATTTTGAGAGGACACAACCAAAGTGATCCGGATATTAAAATGAAGCCTTCAGACATAGCTTCCTTGAAATTTGCGCCGATCACATCATGTGATGTGGAGCGTTCATTTTCGGCTTTTAAAAATTTATTAACATACAAACGCCATAATTTAAGCATGGATAGTATTAACCAGTTATTAGTTTTATACTGCAACCCCATCGTTTAACTTTTTGTGTGTGTTAGTTTGGATTAGTACTGTACTGTTCATTACAGAAAAACCTATTTTGTTTTGTTAACTTTTAGTTTAATATTATTTGATATGATATTATATTTTTTATTATATTAAACATAGTATATTAATATATAAGCGTTTATTTTTTTTGTTTTCGCAGATTTATGTTTCAGTTTTACCAAATATAAAATCCATATTTCGTCTATTTTTTAAAGCATAAAAAAACAAATTTTGCAGTTTTATTCCACATAAAAATCGGAACCTTTCATAACCTCCCATGTCTGTCTGGCCAATGAAACCACATATATTTGAAATTATTCTTTTATGCAGTAAACGTTTCAGTCACAGTGACATGGCATTTTTTGTCATGTCATATATATGGAGAAACGCCCTGTAAGAAGGGTTTTGACAACATTGTCACATTTGCGAGCTATAAGTTCAGAGATTTGTTGGCGAGAAAAAGTTTTTAAAAGATGGAAGTTGACCCAGGAGGATCAACAGACGACGCAGTTCCACATACTATGAGGAAAGAGCTGAGCGGTGGCGGAAACCAAGCAAAATCAGAAAACATGAGCTCACTGACGCAGATGTCATCGGAGCAGAAAACGAACGAAAAACTGATGCTGATTATAGACGACTAGGCGAGGCAGATTCGAGACCTAATGGAGACCATCAAGGACCAGACAGCCTGACCGCCCAGGTAACCATATTACTAAATTCAAAAGAATCCCCTAAAGAACAGACAAAGACCCTAAAAAGACCACTGAGAAACGTTACTGATGATCATCTCACATCCACAGACGAAGACGTACAGACCGAAGGATTTGTAAAAGCAAAATCAAGAAGGAGGAAAGGCGACAAGGCTGATCGATCATCCCAAGACTTTCCTCCTCTTCCGAATACAGGATCAATTCCATTTCACACCTCCCTCAATTCATCAAATCGAACCACTAATAATGCTTCTACTACCAAGCCAGGGACCACGTTTTCTACCTGTCAGGTGACTCCGTCAGCCGATGTTACTTCTCCTCCGTCATCTCGTCCAACCGTCGTGGCATCAACACAACCCTCACGACAAGGGCGCATAACCCCGACCGTCTTACGCGACGGGACGAGATGGCGTACTTTAAATTTCAAGTTTATTTCCCTAGGTATTAAAATAGATCGCGCGGTTGCCGTTGATGCGGGAATAAGGATAAAGGCCGTTGCACAATTGCCCAATTATTTTTATCATCACTTAATAATCGGTGCTTTTTCGTCTACAACTGTATATGGAAAGTTTAAATAAGAAACCTTTCATAATATTCATGGGAGAAATGTTTTTTCAGATTTTTGTTTTACGATGGAACCATGGCTTTGTAGCTATGATAACTTTCAATTCTCTAAATTTTTCCGCATGTCAAAGAAAACATTTATTGATTCAGCAGAAATGATGAAAAAAGAAATTAGCAAAACCGTATACAGGTGGATATTATCTAGTGAGTTTATATGGCCATATTTTAATATTCTTGTGGTATATGGCTACACAGGATACTTTGTTAAGCATAGGAACTACATTTAAAGTGTCCCCAACAACCGTAATGAGTATAACTAATAAGGTGCTTCACTTTATGGTAAAACTGAAGTCAGCCTGTAACATTTTTCTCAAAAATGAAGCTGAAGTACAATAACAATATCCAATACCCGGCAAAATTCTAACTTGTCACATTTCAAATAATAACCAGAAATATAAAACTACTCTTGAGTTTTGTAAATACCACAATTTTGCGGTGATAACTATGACATATAACAGCTGATTCGTGACGTCACGGATCTTATAACCAAACTGATAACTACACTCGCTTGAACGGATTGGTAAATACCAACCCAAAATGGTAAATACCATTTCCATTTGGTTATCCGCTTGAATTTGATTATAGTAGGAGAGATATTTAAGCCCTGCATTAAAGTTGGCTATGACTTTGAAGTTTCTGGCTCATGGAGGATCATTTCAAAGTTTGTCATGGGAATTTCGCGTTGGACATTCAACTGTTTCAAAAGTGATCTTTGAAACATGCACCGCAATTTGGGATACAATGCAACCTATTTACTTGAAATCCCCTACTGAACAAGAGTGGATTAATATCAGCCACCAGTTTTCAAATAGATGGAATTTTCCGCATACACACTTGGGGCCATTGATGGAAAACATGTTCACATTCAATGCCCATTGAATAGTGGGTCATTGTATTATAATTATAAAAACCACTTTAGCATTATCTTACTAGCATGCTGTGATGCTGATTATAAATTTATTTGGGCAGATATTGGTGCGTATGGCTCTGAACATGATGCTAGTGTATTTCGGAGATCTCAGATGGGAAAACAGTTAGATGAAGGATCAGTTCAGTTGCCAAAGGTAGGTCAATTGCCAAGTAGCAATGTTGAAATGCCCTATTTTTTTGTTGGCGACGAAGCTTTCCCTTTGAAACCATATCTAATGAGGCCATATCCAGGGAGGCAACTAACCGAACAGAAATCAGTTTTCAACTACAGGTAGGTATGTGGAAACAGCACAAAATGAATATTTCTGACAAATTTCGTTGCAGATTATCACGAGCAAGACGTGTCATAGAAAATAGTTTTGGGATACTTGCAAGTAGATGGAGAGTTTATCGCTCTCCTCTGCTATGCTCCATAAATCAACAGAGGTTGTGGTAAAAGCTACAATATGCCTACATAATTATTTGAAAACTGAGGCACCAACGACATATGTACCACCTACATTAATAGACTCCTTGAAGGATGATAGTGGAACAAATAGGGATGGTGAATGGAGAGAAATCATCCAAAATGCCAATTGGTAGAGTGGGAGCAAATATATCAGCCAGTGCAACTATGGCTTTGAGAGACAAGCTAGCAGAATATTTGATATCAGATGCTGGAGCAGTGTCATGGCAAATGGCATATGTTAACAGAGGAAGATTTTGAAATATGCTAGCATACTGTCTATTGTATGGAAATTAAAAACATAGTAGTATTTTTTAGTATCAATTTTTATAAATAAAAGTAGCAAGTATACATTTTTGTATATTTTATTCCTACACATTAAAAGAATGACATAATATGTTTCAGATATCTCCATGACTTCTTTTTTAAATTTAATTTTTTTCTTCAGTGGCAGATGTTGCATGTCATCGAGAATGGACTTCATAAAATGTGTGTCACTGTTTTCAGTATTTTCACCAAATCTTTTCTCACATATTTTTGAAAAATTTTGTAAAGCTGTGGCCATTGACTCCTGGATGCTCTTTTTGTGTCCACATGCACTACCAGGTCTGGATGAATGTGAGCTGGTAGGTCTAGACTGGGTAGGCTCAGGTGACAATACACCATCTGATCCCACAACATAATCATCTAGTAATGGTTCAGACTCAACCTCCTCAATGTATGGCACTTTTGAAGCACTTTCTGGGGCAGTCGAGGATATCAGCCTGAAATATAATAGAGTTGTCTTAACATACAAAGAGGACTGGTATATTCATAAAAATCAAAAACAAATAGTTCATTCCACCTGACCATTATAAACTTCAGGTGTAATTTTTATCGAAGTACTTATAAATGAAGGTTTAATAATTGGGTGACAAAAAGTACACACTGAACTCTCAGCGCCAGCCTACAATGGGTGGCACTATGTAGACCTCAAAATGATTCAATTACACTGTATGACTTACTTTCTCTTCCTGGTGAATGGTATTAACCATATCATTATTTCAAAGTATGGGAAGTCCGGTTGTTTTTGTGTTCCTCCACCTGAACCTGAAGGAAGCACAGTATTGCATTGTCTATAGGCTCGAACAAACCTGTCTCTCAGGTTGTCCCACCTCTTTTTCACTATGGCTGCTGCAAAAGAGTTAAATCTGTTATGAAGTTTTATCATGTATTGTTGAATTATAAATTCTGTGGACTAACATAAACCAGCGTATAATGAGTTAATACAAAATGACTAAGAGCTTCAATTTACGTTATTTAAATGGAATCTTGTAATACCATTATGAGTGGAAAGCTAAAAGATTTTTCGCATTTGTTCACATTATAAACAAAAAATGTATAATCGTATCGCTAAGGACGCTAAGCACCACATGTTCATACTTACGTTCCGAATCGAGAAACTCTGCTATTGATAGCCATCTATTCTCTTTCATTTTATCATCTTTGTATTCCTTCAACGTTTTATTGTAAATGTGTGGGCACTTTTCCACTAATTGAATCAGTAATTCGTCATTCATAATGAAATCGTAGCGTTAGCGTTACTACCCCAAACAAAGTCCAAAATAAACAAAACTCAGTTTTTATGTTAATACTGTAATGCGCATGTCCTGATTCTGAGCATTCTGATTGGCTCCGAGAAGGCGGCGGAACGGGAAAGTTGAATCTTGGCCAACTCTTCCGTTTTCGTTCCCGTTACCGTTGCCCTTTCCGTTTGTTGTGCATGTATGTATTGGATAATATGTAATTGAACTTTTCTCTCGTTTCCGTTCCCGTTCCCGGGCAATTGTGCAGCAGCCTTTATTCCTAAATCCGAGGACGACTACCGTAAGATCGTTCGCCTATTCCGAGAGGAAGAAGTGCCCCATCACACTTTTCCTCTCCCTTCGGAACGGAACATCCATGCGGTGGTTCGAGGAGTTCCCGTCAACTTTTCGAATACTGAGATTAAGGGAGAACTGGAGCAGAGGGGATATAGCCCTCTTCACATCATTCGATCGAAGCGCAGCGGCGGCGCGCCCATGCCTTTGGTGGCCGTGATACTGCCCAAGACTGAAAAGTCTCAGCAAGTGTTCAACGAATACGAACTGCTGGGACTTGCCATTCGAGTTGAGGTTCAGAAAAACTCCAGACTCATTGGGCAGTGTCACCGCTGCCAAAAGTATGGGCATGCGCAGTCATATTGCACTGCACCGCCCAAATGCTTAAAATGTGCAAAGGACCACATGACGCATTTATGCCCCTCACAGAAGAGGAAGAACGCAACTGCGCGAACTGTGAAGAGGGACATCCCGCAAATAGCCGGACTTGCAAATTCACTCCAAGGAGGAACTTGCAAGTTATAGCGCAAAGGCGCAATATATACGCGGACGCAGCTCGGGAGGCAACCTTGCCTGCCCCCTATGCCCAACCTCCCTTGAGCACGCAAAATGTGGACCTGGCAACCGCGCTAAGGTCCTTACAACAAATAATAAGCCCACTGATTAGCGCTTCCCAAGCGTTGCAGGCGATATTTCCTGTAAATGTCTAGGTACAATAGTAGACAGCCTGCATTCATCAAAATTCTTTTTTGGAATTGTTTGGGCATGAGGGATATTCCCAAAAAACGGGAATTTCATCAAGCTCTTTTGGATGAAGGTATAGATGTGGCCTTGCTGCAGGAAACGTTGCTTAATCCGGGAGATCGTTTAGCTCTCCCGAATTATGATATTATCCGAGGTGACAGATTGAATGGTCGAGGCGGCGGTTTAGCAGTGTTGATTAAGCGCGGTATAGGCTATTATAGAAGCACTAATGCGGAGATGCATAGCATCGAAGCAGCTTCTGTGGTGGTCAATATGGCGGGAGGTGTCTCGTTGAAGATCACATCGGTGTATGTCAGGTGTGGTGCCAGGCTACAAGAGGCGGATCTGGAGGTCCTTTTAGACTACTCGGGTCCGCTTATTGTGGCAGGGGACTTCAACTGCAAACATCGAGCATGGAATTCTAGGTTGAATTCCCCTAGTGGGGTTCGATTGTACAACCATGTGATGCGAAATGGGTACCTTATACGTAGCACTGAAGAGCCGACACATCATCCATTCAACCATCTTCAGGCACCAGATGTCATCGATTTCGCGATATCTAAAAACTGTAGATACAGTATCTCTTCTCGAATCTCGTATATCTCTAGTGACTATCTACCTGTTGTCTTGGATGTGGGCAATGAGCAAACTTCTGAGGAGGCAGCTCCTCCTAGGAAAACGCATTGATTCGGACCTATACAAGTTGCTCCTTAGAGAGTTTCCCAATATCCCGATTATAGATGATGAGTCTGGAATAGATGCCGCTCAAGCGGAGTGGACAAGTTTCATTCAAGCAGCTCTACAGCGTGCAGCTGTATTTCCTGTACAACGACACGGCAGACCTTTTTTGCCTGCGGACATTCGTCAGAAAATCTCTGACAAAAGAGCCGCTATTAAGCAGGCAAAAAGGTCTTGTCATCCTGATGACATTCGTAGGGCTACAAATCTTGTCCATGAAGTGAGAAACGCACTGCACGAACTTCGCAACGAGCAATGGAGCGATTTTCTGGCGGAAATGCTTGATTCAAGTATTCCTCTCTGGAGGGTCGCAGTCACTCAGAAACGGAAAGCGAGAACAACTCCCACACATCCACGGTCCTGAAGGTATAGTCTTCAGAACGGAGGATAAGGTCGAGGTTTTCGCTGATGCCATGGAAAAACAGTTCTCTCCCAATTATGATCTCGATAATGACCTCGACTAGGAACAGCACATCGTACGATCCGTCAGGAGATATTTTAGAGCCAACGGCATTAGCGGAGGCACTGAATCCTCTTCAGATGACTCTTCTTCAGATTTGTCTGAGGCTCCACATAGCACATTAGCGGAACCCTCCGAGTTTCCACATTGCACACCAGCGGAGTTACTAAGTCATATTAAAGACCTCAAGGTGCGTAAAGCACCTGGGTAGGATCAAATCACCAACAAGGCGTTGAAGCTGCTCTCGCCGAAAGCCCTGACATACTTGGTGACAATAATCAATGCGACGCTCAAAATCCAGTACTTTCCTGCTGGGTGGAAGACTGCTGAGGTCATCATGATTCCAAAGAAGGTGGGTTCGATATTTCCCCAGGATTACCGTCCCATAAGTCTGCTGTCAGCTCCTTCTAAGCTCGCCGAAAAGGTGATTTATCGTCACCTTGAGAATTTTTCGTCAAATCACCATGTGATTTCTGACGTCCAATTCGGTTTTCGGTCCGAGCATAGCACCGAGCTACAGGCAGTCAGGCTGGTGGAGCATGTAACCAGAGGGTTGACCCTCAGCATGAGTACTGGCATCTTGCTTTTGGATGTCTCAAAAGCCTTTGACAAGGTGTGGCACGCGGGCCTCCTCTATAAACTAATCCAAAAGGGTTTTCCTTTTGGCTGAAATCCTTTCTTGAAGGAAGGAAGTTTCGGATCAAAATTAACAATGTTTTGTCAACAACACGGCCAGTACGGGCCGGTGTTCCTCAGGGTTCGGTCCTAGGACCAATTCTTTATTCGCTTTTCATCCATGATGTCCCCTCTCCCAGCAACTGTGAAGTCTACCTCTATGCTGACGACACTGCACTTGTCGCCCAGTCGTGTACTGGTGATCTGGTTCACGATGGGTTGCAGAATGCGGTGGACGAAGTTCTAGAGTGGGCGGAACAGTGGCTGATAAAAATTAACATTCGAAAACGCAGGCTATTTATTGTACCAAAAAACGTCGCGGCCCCCTAGCAGAGGTTTCTGTAGACGGAAATCGTGTTCCATGGACAAATTCTGCCAAGTATCTCGGTGTCACCCTTGATAAAGGCATGACCTGGCAGAAACATACAGCATCCATAAAACCAAAATTCCAAATTGCGTTTCGGCAACTATATCCTTTGTTATGTAGATCCTCCAAATTGAGTTTGATAAACAAAGTTCGACTATATAAAATGATTATTAGACCAGCCATTACTTATGCATGTGCGGCTTGGTGTTTTCTTGCCAAGACACACATGCAAAGTCTTCAAGTACTGCAAAGCAGAACTTTGCGGACAATTTGCAACGCTCCATGGTATGTCTCAAATGAGACACTACACAGAGACCTTGACATTCCTTACTTGAGGGATTATGTCAAGCTTCAGGCGCAGCGACGTTATAGTCAAGCGGAATCGCACAGCAACCCTCTGTTGCGTGACTCAGTGGACTACACAGTGGAGCAAGTTCGTAAACATTCAAGGCCATGGCTCGCACTGTAATCAAAAGTTAGCGTGAATCTTTAGTAAACTCAAAATTACACTCTAACAAAACCGAATCAAAAAAAAAATTGTTTAGTTCACCTCAAAATTAATCCGTGTACCAAGTCAAAAAGCCTAGGGGTTTCCTCTTAAACTAAGCATATCTGTTTTTCTTTGTTCTTCTCCTTTTTTTCCCCTTTCTCTTTTTCCTTGACTTTGTCTGGTTTCTGGGCAACCAGGACTGACAGATTCGACTAACGTACATAAGACAGTGACTAATGGGCAAAGGTCCTACGGACCGCCCAGACAAATAAATGACGAATAGTAGTAGTCATATACAGGGTGACTTCGAAGTTGAGTCATTTATTTTAACAGTGAGTAGATCTGATCAAAAGAAATGTTTTTTTCCTTTACCATTTTTCTGGTAAAATTAAAGTAACAAAGTTATAGCCCTTTGGAAGTTTGAGTACCGCCCTGTCTCAATAATAATATCATGTACTCGTGTTCGGCAACAACGGATATAATCCACCTTATCGGTTCATCGCATGGGAAACAAAAAAGCGAAAGAATTTGGAACGACGTTTTTATTTCATTCAGTTCAATTATACATACATTCAGTGTCAGTCGCGTGTGAATAGTGTCTGTTGCGTGGCTCAAACGAAATAAAAAATGGCACATGTTTATGCGGATCGGTTTCCCAATCGAGTGCAACCAACCCCTCGTGCCTTTGTTAATGTAGTACAACGGGCTCGTGAATCAGGTGACTTAAGACCTCACAGGGCACCTCACGATCAAATACAGGTCCGCACTGAAATACTTGTTGGGAGGATACTTTATAAAACAAGGTAAAAAATTTTTATTTTTTTTTTTATTTTTACACACATATTTTGGTTTATCTTTCTTCTACAATCATTATCTGAAAATTAATGACTCAACTTCAAAGTATATGGGAGATTATCGACGTTAAGTTTCAGATGTTACATCTTTGTTAAAATATATACAGAGGATAGTTAGGGAAATATGTTACTGGATATTCATATTCCTTATCTATACGGTCCTTGATATCTCTGAAACTGTCCCTTAGAAAACTTCGTACCCGCGGAAATCTCTAATCAGGACATACTAATGTATAACATACTACAGATGCAGTCCATTTCACAGAAGGCACTCCTGCCATATGTTTTGTGCAATCTCCTTTGCATTTACTGTTCTTACCATTTTTTTATACTTTACAACGCATATATCGTGGCTTATTTTTTATACACCAAAGCGCACATATTCTACCATAGAGACTAAGCGCGTATTCCCCTCACAGCCCGACATTGTTTTCGTTTTTGTCCGTCGTACGCTGCAATCGATTTTGTTTCCCCCACTGTGTACCTCACTCCCGGCGCTTGATAGGCACTCTGTTAGACTGTAAATGCGAAAAATGATTTGGCTAAGATTTTTCATTGTACATATAGCAATTTTGGCCCATTTTTATATCTATATATTTTTGTATGGTGAATAATTGAACATTTGATCGAATTTGGAAATAAAGTGTTTTTATTAACTTTAGCGTTATTTCTATGTTCATACTACAAACTGTGTGGCGCATGCTGTAAACGTAAGACAGCAGAAAATGATTAAAAAAAAACCTACGATCTTATACCAGTTTTATTTGGAGTGGTAACATATTACAATAAATAAAAAAGTTTAAATGCAGCCGGTCCTTCTGGGTACTCTCGTTCACTTCAAGTGCACAAAGTGCCACTTATCAACTGCAACGAAAAACATTCAGTCATTCGAAAATATAAAAATCGCCCAAACTAACCGACTACAGTTTTGAAGTGCATGCACAGCTATGTGAGTGTGAGGGTTTTAAAAAATATACTTTATCCACTGAAAAGAAAAAGGAATGTTACATATTAACAGTCATGTTAGTAAACAAAACTACGAGGGATGTCTTTTAAGTTTTGCATATGGAAATAAAACAACACTGTAGGTAGTTATAAATGACTATTGTTTTTCGAAGTATTCTCCACGAAGATTAATACACATCTGCATGCGCTCGAACCAATTTTCGAAGCACTTATTCCACTCGTTTGCTTCTTCTGGTGACTGGAACCTTTGACCACGCAGTCCGTTTTTATTTTTCGGGAAAGTAAAGAAATCGTTAGGACTTAGATCGGGACTATACGGAGGATAGTCCAATAATTCCAAGTTTTCTTCAGTTAAATACAGCCTTGTTTTTTGGGCTGTGTGCGAGCTTGCATTGTCTTGGTGGAGGATGATTCTTCTTTCGGGGTTGATTCTTCGAAGCTCGGTGATGGCTTTAGGCAAACAAATGGTGGTATACCAATCCGCAGTAACAGTTCTTTGCTCATTAAGAGGAATTGTTGCAATATGACCCGCTTTTGACACAAATGTCAAGACCATCTTTTTCGAAACACTTCTTGGCTTTTCTTCACCTTGGAACATTCAAACAGCCGCCTGTCGTTTATTTTCTGGTTCATAACAGTAAATCCACGATTCATCACCATTAACAATGCTGTACACATTTTTTGAGTTTCCGGAATTGAAACGGTCAAGCGTTTTATGACATCAATTAACCCTGGCTGCTTTCTGCTCTTCAGTCAACAGGTGGGGTATCCAACGAGAAACTAATTTTCTTACTCATAATTCTTCATGTAAAATTTTTTGAATTGTCGACTGATGTGGCGCTTCGTTGCCGAAAATTCGCATTCTTGTTGCGATAATTGTCTCTGAAAGTTGTAATAAATTATGGCGCGAAAATGTTCTCGGTTGAGTACCTTTTTTCTAATGACTTGGTGACACTTAAAAATTCACTGTAGTGAGAACACTGCACGTATTGTTGTGAAACTTTGAATTTAAGTTTACTAAAGAGTGAGGTTTAGATTCAGTACTGACGTTCGATCCGCGCGGCCTACTATGTTTCTATATGCAAAACTTAAAAGAAATCCCTCGTATAAAAATGATAAATAAAACGTATCATATCAAGTCAAGTAACATTGAAATACGCCCATAGCGGATTTCATAAATCAGGAAACAATAAATTGGATTGGAATAACCAATATGATTTTTTTTGCTACTCCCAATTTTTCTGTAGTTGTCATCATTGTTCTCTAATCAGAACAAAATGACATCATTTGGAAATGTACTATGCAGTAGCAGAAAAAATGATGTCTCTATCACGGAACAACCAATTTTGTGTGATTTTGCTAATGCTAACATAAAACTTATTGCCTTGTCAATATTTGTACATTTTAAATGAAACCTTGGATTAAATTGACTGTTGTCTTAAATGATATAGCAAAAATAAAAATGCTTATAACAATCTATGACTAATTTGAAATCGTATAGTTGTTGCTATTTGATGATAAACTTTAATTATGGAATAAATCGGCTAGTGATTCGGAAATGATTAATTCAAAACTCACTTTAGTAGGAGGTAAACCAAGAATACACAATAGCAAATAACTTATGACTTATGGAATATATACATATAATTTTTCACAATATGCCATATCGCAACATTCAGGAGCTGCATACATTGTTATGTATGAAATTTATGCCAAAAGTGATTCATAGTTCACTCCAAAGACGCTTCTAAATGTCAAACTGCCTTTTTGAGTGAAACATCTTTCATGAGAAAACACGTACCTATAGCTTCCATTGGCTGTGCCGGTCCTAACTCTGGAGTCTTATTTATCACTTCCTTAGCATCATTCTTCGAGATTTTGAAAGAGTTTCCTTCAATGGTCGTATTAACACATGAAATGCCTTTAGCATCTACCTCTTTTGACACCAAAGCCTTCCAGAAGGAGTGCACCTCATCGACCACTTTATGAGCAAATGCAGCTGGTTTTGCCTCGCCATTGAAGGCGAATTGGTTCTCTGGTTTGCCATCTGGGATTTTGTATATTTTGAACCATTCAACAGATGCTTTTAGTAAACCGGGAAAGTGTTTTTCTATATCGGAAATGTCATTTAGTTGGTCTGCGATTGGATCATTGACATCGATCGCTATCAGTTTCCAATCTGTCTCACCTACAAATGAAACCAATGGCGTCAAGTCGGTTCACTCTGTACTTACCACAATACTTTCAGTTTAAAAATAAGTGTTTAGAACAAACTCCTGAATAATATTTTAGCATCACATTTAAAATGACCAAATTTTTCTAGATTGCTGAAATTCTAATTTAATCCATTTTATTTTTAAAACCTTCGAGTCAAGTTTGGCAACGTAGTGGTTTGTTGGACTTAGTTCTTACGTTACAACATATTTTCTTAAGCCTGCAAGGTCTGATGCTTTAGGAACTAGGAAACGGAAAAGGAGAGAGTGCAAACTTTAATATGATCCAAAATGATGAATGAACAAATGACAAACAGTCTGATGGAAATAACTGACTTGGTGTGAAATGTGTTATGACAATTACATCAAGGTTATGTGTCAAACATGATGTTATACAACAAAAAATAGGTTCCTCAAAGTTTAGATCTGTATCTTCAAAAAAATAAAAAAATTGAGAGACCAATTTTTAAATAACATTATAGAGACTTTTTATGAGCATATCTAGCAAAATAAGACTACTGATGGGTCATCAGTTAAATTAAATGATATTTCCATTTGAAAGCAATAGTATGTTCTATGACCACAAATCAGGTTTAATATCAGCCCACCATTTTAATAGAAATATTGATATCTAAATCATGTTTGCAGTTAGATATATTTTTGTTTCACAAACATGTTATTCCAAGTGAAGATTGCTGTTTGCCTATTTAATTATCATAAAACCACAATCTGGAAAGTAACATTCTTATCTGATTACATACCTATTATAGTAGCTAACATATTTAAACATTAAATAATAGGTATTCATATTTCATATCTTTCTGTATGAATCATTACCTGTTATATAACTATAAAGGTCAATTTGCAAGGTTTTAAACTTGTATTATCGTTACGAGGCATGGCAAAAAACTTTTAGTAAACTTTCACTGAAAAATTAAAACAATTGTTCAATGTCATGCTATGCATATTAGATACATTTCTATGGTTAGGTGCTACTAACAAAATGGATCAACAATATAATCAATAAAGTATCTTTTAATAATGGATTACAAGTATAATTGTTTTCCTTAAAGGCAAACCAATTTTTCTGTGATATTGCAAACTTAGTTTTATGCCCTACAATTTCCTATAACAATATTTTAGGTACCAGTTCCAGATGAAGCACTATTTTAGATGAAATTTCTTGCATAAAAACACACATGGAATATTTTCATTGATATATAAAAAGGGTTAGATTTATATTTACCTTCATCGATTAATGCAATAGTTCCAAGAATCTTCACCTGCAAGATTTCACCACGTTTTGCTACCCTATAACCTATTTCTAGAACATCAATTGGGTCATTATCACCCTTGCATCCTGTCCCATCATCTAGATGTTCTGGATTTTCCCAGGTCTGTGGAAGAGCACCATAGTTCCAAATGTAACCATGATGTGGGAAGCAGTTTGAGACAAACCTTACTTTGCCCTTTTTGACATCTTGCTTGATTGGGTTCAAGATTTCCTTCATTGTTATCTACGAAAATTTATATTCAGTATCCTAAGTACAATATATTTTCAAAGTGCATCTTGTAGCTTTTAACCATGACTTACATGTATTATCAGTCTTTAGTAGTTGAAAAAAGAAAACATGTTCAAGCTAACTAAACAGAAATGTAGAAAACTAAAGGTATCCCAGTTTTTTTCCGAACCTCCCCTTATTTAAGCTATACTGTGAGTCAAAATAATTTCAACATAAAAAAAAAACTTACCTCCATTTTAGCATTACTCCATCTTGGAATCTCAACTACCATGTTAAAAATCTTCTTGTTTGCATCAACCACCAAAGGAATATCATGCAGTGGTGAAATTGGACCATCTTGATCTTCTATATATTTAAAAAATAATAAATTGTTAAAAAACACATTTGATAATAACCACTTAATAGTTGGAAATCATTCTAGATAAGTACTAACAGCTTAAATTTCATGGACTAAAAGGATGATTACAATTTTCTGTTGAAGTTCAATAACTTTATTGTTCATTGAAATTTTCCAGTCACAAAACCAAACAACCATAATAAAGGTAACTGAATTTCTATCCAATGTTTTCTCAAATAAAAGTAGTACATAGTCAAGTCACATGATATGCATTGCTAATGTATCAACAATGCTATTAACTGTAACATTAAGATAATTCGTGAAGTCAAAGGATTATCGTTGGAAATTGCTATAGTTGCCTTTATTTCTCCCAAATATCATTCAGACATCACAATTCCAGCAAATGTTTTGAAAACTAAAAAAAAAACAAACAGAATGTTGATTAACAAACTGTGAAGAAACCCTATACCCTATTAGGTATATTTTACTTCTCAAGCACTAGCCAGGAAGGCTATATGACCCCCTTGCCCTCTAATGGGTGCCCATAAAACTTCCAGATGAGTTTCCTCTAGAAAATTTGCTAGGATTTTAAGCTAGCTTTTCTAAGGCAGTCTTAAATTTAATGTTAGACTGCCAAATCCCAATAGTTGGGAGCATTTCTATTAACTGGATCCTAAGGTAACCTGTAAGTTTATGTCTCCTGTAAGAATGCAGAACATGACTCCAAGCTCCCCAGAGAGTCATGATCAAGCATTAAAGGGGCATTGAAGAGTACCTTGAAATGTATGAGGTTATTTGTGATAAATAAATTTTATCTTTACAAAAACAGGACTCGTCTGTTTGTAGCTGTAGCCCTACCTCATCTCTGTGACTCCCTTGTAGGTTATAGCAGAGTTACATTAGTTTTGTTTCATCAATTCACGTAATGAAATGATCAGGACAGTACCAGCTTGTGCAGGTCTCAAAATACCTAATACTCTACCTTCTACTTTTTATTTGATAGTCACCATAAGACTACAACTACTAAAAATCAATGACCAGAGAATTTACTACAATTAATTGTATGCATGCATTCTTTTAAATTGAATATTATTTCAATCTATATTTGGCACAGCGCATCTAGAGGTGGAAGTTCAAGGGCACGGGGGTATACTATCAGCCAATATTTCTGACATTGGAGCAACGATAGGTAGTAAGTATGCTTACGTATGTAAACCCTGTAGTCTTGACTGTAGAGAGAACCCCGTTCAGTCACTGAATAAGCCATGTTCGAAAAACCACTAAACTGGAACTTCGGGCAGTAAAACTGACAAGTAGGTCGCCGTAACCCAGGAAACGGTGTTTTCGCACGCCAACCGGCTCTAAACACGTGTTGGGTAAATTTTGTGCCGAACATGCTGCTATCTATTAGCAATTATGTTAATCACATGTATCTATTATGATAAACGGGATGGTGAACAAACATCCCAACGTGCTTCCAACAAACGCAACTAATAACCACTAGGGTGCGCTACATGTCCACGTGGACGGTGATGCATAACTGGTTGCATAAGATAAGGTATATGTACAACATAAGAAATGATAAATACAAAATTTCAAAATACATTGCGTGCCAGATTGCTGTTGTTAGTGTGCGTCAGTGGCGACGGGTGACTTTTCCTACTGTTACCAAAACCAGATGAGAAAAATCTTATTAAAAAAGGTTTATTTTGACCCTCCGATGTAAAAGTTTTTCTTTATTTTAGGTATTGTATTTAAACTTTTTTTAAATTAAGGTAAACGTTGCTGGACTGGGCGTCTGCGGCACTTCATATACCTCATCGTCTTATGCTATGACTAATCCAAGCCTTCCGAAAAACAGTAGATGTTTCTAGATGTTCGGAAATTTTTGTAGCTTTTTTGGCAATTAATGTTAGCAATTCCGAGTAATTTCCTCTTTTGTCAGAGTCATCCCTTTCAAAATGACCCCGAAATGGTAATTCTTGTTTGGCCAAAAAACATACAGCATCTATAAGTGTGCTGCCTAAAATCTTGGTTAAGACAACTTTCGATTCTTGTTTTGCCAAACTGAATCAAATGTAAAGGAGAAATTTCATGTCTCCTCTACAAAACCCTAAAACTATTTAAATCGTTGCTGGTCCACCCATTTTTTTTTGTAGAAAACAGAAGACATGGCCAACAATACAATCTGTTTTTCTTGCAACCACAGATCCAAGAGTTTTCAATATACCAACTAAATTTAAAATATCGAACTACTTTTTTATTCCTTTTTAAAATTATCTAAAATAAGTTGGTATTCCATTTTCAATGATCTCATTTTTTTGTTCAAAATTATACAAGGAGAATGACTTTTCAAGTAGTTAATCGATTACGCAGCGATACTCATCCGTATTTAATTGCACGCACACTACAGCCGGCAACCAAAACGATTACTAACGAGGGAGAAGTGAGCAGTGTTGCCAGAGCGAAGTTTAAAATATCCGTTACACGTATCGCAAAATTCCGCTACATGCCGCTACGGTCTAAAAATTTAAGAGGGGGGGGGGAGGCTTAAAATAAACAACAAATATATTTTTTACATATTTACTTTTTTTTTAAACACTGTCTAAAAACCCTACTAAAAATACAAACAGTAACATAATATAATTGCAATTTTTCGTAAAAACATAAAAAGTATACCTCTAAAAAAACAAAACTGTCTTTGGTTTAGAATTAGGAACTAATAAAAAAATGGAAACTATCACCAATGTCTTAATCTTAATAGAAAAGAAAAACAAAAAATAAGGACAAAGAAGAAGCGGAAACGTGGAAATGCCTACGTTTGCTTATTTTATTCACAGTCAGAATCAGAAATTACTTCTTCTTCAGCTTGTTCTTCCTTATTTACATTATATAAATTCTTTTTATATTTGTTTAAATGATTCTCATTAAAACTATAGGATAAACAGCACTGTTTTTTTGATTCCAAGTCTAATTTAATTGTAAGTAGTGCAGACAAAGTTGATGGTATTATTTTATTTCTTTTTTTTGTTTTGTAATCAAGCATATAAGAAAAAGTTCGCTTAACATCAGCGTTTCCATGAGGCAATGTTAAAATGATTAGAGCCAGTTTATCTATATTGCGAAATAAATATTCGTCATTAAAATTTTTGAGGTCGTTTACAAACGACCAAAATTCAATGACATTACTTTTTGTTTTTAAAATTTCCTCATTCTCACTATCACTAAAATAAATACATATTTTCTTTAGTTCCAAAATTGCCTTTTCGGTTTCAATATGAAGGACAAATTTTTTTAAAACGGCGTCATGAAAGGTATCACTTATAATAAGACGATTGTTCATCACATCAACCGGTGAGAGAAACTTTAGCTCTGAAAAGAAGTTGTCTTTGATAGGAAATCTTTTAAGGGACTCTTCTACCGATTGTTCAATTGCCGTGTTATTGCAGTGTTTTATTGCATCCATTGTATGCGGACCAACATTCAGTTGTTCAATTGGTAATAAGCAGTGGGGATCATTAGGATTTAGATTATTTATAATTTCTCATTTTTAAAATATTCTGGTCGCATAAAGTTTGTAGATAGATGACGTACAAATCGCTCACTCTCTATTGATATGATATTGAGCATAACCTTCTCTGATTGAAAGAGAGCATTAAATTGGTTAAAAATGGGCAACACGAATTTAAAAAACACGCATTAACAAATGGATTCTGTAACTCATTAAGTACAGGGTTCGGCAATGAAACGGGAAGATTTCGTAAATAATTTTATTATCGAAAAAATATTTTTTTTGTACTTAGTAATACCATACTGGGAAATAAAAGAGTAGCCATTTGATATACAATGTTAAAAAACATTATTTTTTGAAAATTACATCTGTCAAATGGCCTCCGTTGACACGTATGCATTCATGGAGTCGAGCCTGGAAGTTCTGCATAACTCTTCGCAGCATATCAACTGGTATTGCTGCAATCTCGTCACGAATTCGTTGTTTGAGGGCCGGGATTGTCCTGGGTGGATCAGTTTCAAACACTTTCATTTTCAGATAACCCCATAAAAAGGAGTCGCAGACAGTAAGATCGGAAGACCGAGGGGGCCAAGCAATATCCCCGTTTCGAGAAACGACACGCCCTGGGAACAAAGCATTCACCGCATTCATCGAAATTCTTGCAGTGTGGCTTGTTGCATCGTCTTGTTGAAAAAGTGTGTTTCATTAACTGGAAAGCGTTAGAGTTCAGGTGTGAGGAAGTTCCGAATCATTGAAACGTATCTCTCAGAATTAACGGTAACGGCATTTTCAGCCTCATCCTCAAAAAAATACGGACCGATGATTCCATTTGCAGACGTTGCACACCATACTGTCACTTTCTGAGCATGAAGAGGTGATTCATGAAGCATACGAGGGTTAGCCTCCGCCCAGTATCTAAAATTTTGTCTGTTAACAAAACCGGAGAGGTGAAAATGTGCCTCATCGCTCATCCACAAGTTGTTAACCTGGTCATCAATTTCTTCCAGCCTTGCAAGCATAACCTCACAAAATCTGAGACGCTGTTGATAATCATCCGGGTGAAGAGATTGAACAACCTGTATTCTATACGGGTGATATCGAAGATCTTGATGGAGAATCCTTCTCACCGATCTGTCACTTAATCGAAGGCGTGTGGCGTGACGGATGGCCGATCGACGTGGACTTTTTAAAATGGCTTGTCGAACACGTTCAATATTTTCAGGGGTTCGAATCGTTCTGGCACTACCACCTCTTTCTCTAGACGTCGATCCAGTTTGCTCGAGGTTGTTTAGCCACATTCGAATCGCATGGTCTGACGGAACCGGTTGGTTACGCGGTATGTTAAAATGCCGTCTAAAATCTCGACGCGTTTGCACTAAACTCTCGCCATTTTGGTAATAAGCCTTAATTGCGTAACCGCGATGCTCACCCGTCCAACGCTCCATTGTAGACTAAATGGCAAGCCACTCGGGTCCCGACAGGTCTGTGACTCTCCTCCCTACCATTTCACCACCCGCTGCAAGCCCCACCCCAAATCTTCCCGTTTCAATGCCGGACCCTGTATTACATTTGCTACATGATTTTTTTCTTCAATGGAAGCTAATCTAAATAGGCTAAACAAGATGTCCCACTGATCCAAAACTCTATCAACACATTTGGATAAAGCAAGCCACCTTGTTTTACTAAGGCTTAAAATTTTTAATTTTGACTTTTTGAAATATTCCTGTAATTCTTCAAGAACACACTGCCTTTTTGGGCTTCTTGAGAAGTAAGAATATAAGTTTTGTAAAAGAGCTTCAACGTTGCTTGGAATCTTTTCAGCTGCCGCCACCGCCACTAAATGAGCAGAGTGGCAAATGCAGCCATTGACAATTATATTAGGATTATCTTTTAAAAGATAAGTTTTGAAAGATTCGTTATTGCCCATCATAACACCAGCGTTGTCGGAACAGTTTCCAACAATATTGGTAATTTTTACTTGATTGGATATAACGCATTTTTTAAAAAGAGAATATAAACCTTTGGCGGTACCTTCATCTGCGTTCATTTTAATTATATCTAATAAATGGGTTTTAATTGAATTTTTATGAATATACCTTACAAGAATGCATTGTATTGCTCAGGTCTGTACTCTCATCCAATAAAATAGAAAATGGTTTATTTTCCAATTCTGAAATTATTTCTTCTTTAATAACAGGAGCCAGCACATTTTTAATTATACTTATGCATTTGGATCTTTTTAATTTAAGTGAGCTAGAGAGATCTGGGCCTTTAAAACATAATTGACTAACTCCTGTTATATGATCAACAGTTCTAAAACTTTTATAATGACTTACAACTAAAAGACTATATCTTAAGCAAGCAAATATTTGCCGTTTTTCCAACTCACGTGCTTCCCGAGACTGAAAAGTGCTATCTAACGTTCTTACATTCGAAATTGTTTGTACATTAGTCGCATGCCTTTTTGATTTCGAATTATTCACTAAATCTGATTTTTTAGCACCCATTACAAGCTTTATATTTTGCTTTCAACTTGTCATTTTCAATAGGTCCCAACCAGCCTTTAAATAACGGATCTTCTAGCCATGATGAATTAAACATTTGTTTTCATGTCTTTTTCTTAACAGGTTGCTCTGGCTCTTGGTTATCCTGAGATTCGCAAGTCGAATTATCAGGCTCAGACCTGATTCCACTAGATTCCGCTCTTCTATTTTGTCTGTATTCAGGTTCGGGATGCTCCGAGTCCGACACAGATGCAGTATGCAGTCGAAGTGGATGGTACGGCCACGTTTGGTTTCACCGTTTGTTTTTTAGAAGGATTTTTATCAAAAAAATCGTTAATGGTCTGCTGTCGCATTTCCATTATTCCTATTTTCCAGAAGAAAAAGCGTTAAAAACAAATTTCGCGACTAAGATTTATTTCTGGATCAAACTATAATATGTTAGATATTTAAGCAGTTTTGTTACTTACCAGTAGATTTAATATTAAAATCTGCAGCAAATGATATATCAATAAAATGATCAACACAAAAATAAGAACACTAATATAAACGAAACTAAACAGTATATACCCAGAGCTGAAAAATACAATACAAAGCGAGAAACCTAATATTATGTCTGCCTGCTGAGACCTGTTAGAAACGATTAGTATTGAAAGCAGTACGTACGCCATCTGTTATTGAAAAAAAAGGCAAGTGGAATAATTTTCTTCTCTGTTCCTAGATGGCTCAAGCGGCACCAAATGCACCAATTTTATTATTAATGTGATAATAAATCAGACTCTAGCCACTGCCTATTTAGGATTTAGAACGTTATTAACGTTAAAACAGTGAAATAAATATGATAGTTTTGTATGTAATAAATTCCGCTACATTTTGGGCTAATTTGCTCTACCGCCGCTACGCCTCTCTTCTCAAAATAATCCGCTACAAATAGCGGAATTCCGCTACGTATGGCAACACTGGAAGTGAGTAACCAGAACAAAAAATGGTAACAAGCCTACATAATAGAGATGAGCAAAAACTCGCGAACTGCGATTTACTCGCAGCGATTATACAATCGCAATCGCAACATGCGAGCCCGTTCCGTAGCAAACTGCGAGTTGCGAGCTGGTGGGTTCGCGTGAGCCGGTAGGCATGCAACCAACCGTACAATCGCGGCAATCGCTTTGGGAGTGACACATGCGAGTGGCGATTGGCGGTTAGAAACGAGCGGATGGCGTTGCTTTTATATGGTTGTGAGCTGTGACTGTTGCGAGCTGCGAATGCGAATTGTTAGGATTGGTATTGGTGGTTTCTATTTTCAATCTCTAGGTTGTTTTTTTTGTTTGACTAGCCAGTATTATTTTATTCAGTTTCAACAATGTTTAAAAAGAGGAAAATAAGTTATTTGTGGATTTTTTTTCCGAAACCGACGAAAATTTCGCAAAATGTAATATGTGTGCAGCCAAAATATCATATAAGACTAGTACCACGAATATGAGAAGACACATGGAGTCAAAACACCCAGCTGTGTCATTAAATCCCGAATGTGCCTCGGAAAGTATTTTAACGTATTAGTCCAAGAGCTGGTAGACATTTTGGTAACGTATTTGAGGCACTATGAAAACTTGTCTACTGCTTGTGCTTCTTCTATTATTTTCGAATACAAAAGTACAGAACTGGCTGAAGGTCAATGGGCCATTGGCGTCCCATGGGTTATAAAAGGTATTTAAAAAAAAAAAACGAAAAAACATATTTGAGGCATTTTGAGATTTTCATAAACTAATATTTATGATTAAAAAATAATATATTTAAAATAAGTTCATTCTGGTGGGACGTCTTACCTGTCAGGTGATCGAGAATATTTAACTTGTACTCCAGGTAATGGGGAATTATCTCGTAAAGTGTTGACCGTACGGTAGTTCTAAACAAAAATGGTTCCTATTACTTTTTTACGTAAGACACAGTAGACAAGTGTTATAGTGCCTCAAATACGTTGCCAAAATGCCTACCAGCTCTCCTACTATATGTACCAAAAATTTAAACATAATATATCCATCTTATACATATAAATCTTAGTAATGAAGACACAAACAGTGTAATTTAAGGTCACTTTATCAAGGCAAGCCCCACCTGTGACAAGTATCCAGTCAGGGGCATCAATAAGTTCAGGACAACCAATCAAGCAAGTGGGAGATCCAAGAGACACGGAGATAGAAGAGATTAGTGTTGATAAAATGCCACTGAATTCTATGAGTTTAAGAAAAATCGAAACAGCGCGGAAAACTAAACAATTCCAAACAGATATGGATCTTTATATTCCAAAGAGAGTAACTCCTAAATGTAAACAAAAAATTGATGATAAATTACTACGATTGTTTACCGACACCTACCAACCATTTATAATTGTCGAAGAACGTGCTTTTAGAGACTTTGTTTTTGCTTTGAATCCTTCATATCAGCTTCCAAGTAGACATACCATCTCCAGAACCATGTTACCGGCTATCTATGAGAAGGATCTTATCGAGACGCACCGTGTTTTAAAAAAGGCAAAAAAAGTTTGTATTACAACTGATTGTTTTCCATTAATACAGAGAGTTTTATGGCTGTGACCGCTCATTTCCTAAATGATGATTTCCAGATGGTTTCACTTTTACTAGAATGTTTCACTTTGGCTGTTCAACACACAGCAACTAATCTAGCAGAAGAGCCAAGAAGAGTTGTTACAGAATGGGAAATCCAAAATAAGCTTTCGATAGTAGTTTCAGACAATGCGGCAAATATAAAAGCTGCCATAAATGAATTACGGTGGAAACAGTACGGTTGCTTTGCGCATACGATTAATTTGGTGGTAAATGATGGATTGAAAGAAGATCAGATCAGCGCAGTTATCGGACGAGTGAAACATATTGTAGAACATTTCAAACGGAGTCACATAGCAACGGCAAAATTAATATCATACCAACAGAATCAAGTAAAGCAAACCCCTCTAAAACTACTGCAAGACGTATCCACTCGGTGGAATTCTACGTACTACATGTTGGAAAGATTCATTATTTTGGAGGAAGCTGTTAAAGCTACTGTGTCAATAATTAATATGGATTTGAAACATCACTTGACAGTCGAGGAGTAGGTAATTATTAAGTAACTAACACAAGTGCTTAAACCGTTCGAGAGTGTCACCAAAAAGATTTCTGGGGAAGAATACTTAACTGCATCTCTCGTGAATGGTCTAAATCCAGCTTTTAAAGAATTTGGAGGCATGCAATATACTGAATGTATCAAACGAGTACTTCATAATTTAAAAAAATCTTTGAACGACAGACTAGAAAATTCTGAAAACAGCAATACACTCTCATTAGCAACTTTCCTCAACCCGCGTTTCAAAGAAATACCGTTTAAGGACAAAAAAATGCTGGAATAGCAAAAAAAATGTTATTTAATTGGTGGCTGAAAAGTTTTCGGCCGAATCGGCTTGCAGTGTTGACAAGAGTGTTCCAAATGCATCAAATCAGAAAAATGAAAATTCCGACGAAGACGATTTTTGAGAGGATTTTGATAAAGAAGCTGAACGATATCAACCAGCCACTGTAGGAACTTCTACAACTAAGGCTAGATTAGAAGTTCAACGGTTTTTAGATTGTGAACTATTGCCTCGTAATGAAGATGTACTGAAATGGTGGAACGAAAATAAATATTTGTTTCCGCACCTTGCTTGTGTTGTGCAGGAGAGACTTAGTGTATGCGTAACGTCCGTTCCATGTGAAAGACTATTTTCTAAGGCAGGGCAAATATTGACAGATAGACAAAATCGTCTAGATAGCGGAAAAGTCAAAATGCTTTTATTTTTAAATACCAACGTAAAACAGGTGCACCATAATGATAAGTGACAATTTTAATTTGAGTTACCTATTTTAAATATCAAACATTTTAATTTATAGATTTACGTGGTTCCTTTTAATATGCACCTGAAAAGATTTAAGTTATGTTTTTATTTCAGCAGAAATATTTTTTTTTGTTTTTCAGAAATATGTTTTATAAATATTATTAAAGTTAATAAGTGAGATAAACCAAATTTTGTAAGTCTGGAAAAACAAATGGTTCCTACATTTCCTGTGATGATTTGGTTTTAGTTTTTTTATTTAAAAGAATTTGTTGTTATTGTTTTTCAGAAATATGTTTTATAAACATAGGTAGTAAGTCAAATAAACCAACCTTGTTAAGTTCTTGAAAAGAAATGTTTGTAGTTTAACATATTACCTGTTGGGTTTAGTTTTTGCATTCTTCTAATTAAAATTATAATTATAAGAGACATTTGTTTTCATTTTTAAGAAAATCTACAAATTTGGAATTATAAGATTTAAAAAAAGGTATTATCATTTCTCCTAACCTTTATAACACAAATACAATGTTATTTCATTTTTTGTGATATCAGTTGTTAACACAACAGTTAAATATGACCAATTTAATGTAATTAACCTTTTATAGAAGGGAAATTATGAAATAACACAGTCCCACAATTTCAAATCGCAATCACAGGTTGCACTAGCAGTGAAAGGTAAATCGCAATCGCAGTTTTAACTGCGATCATAAAATCGCAACTTTGATCATCGCTACTACATAATGATCGCGGCGGCCCACGCACTCGGGCGATCACGATCAGACACGAGCCGGCACCGATGGTCCCCGACGGACTCAATTGTATCCATAAATGAAAATGGTAACAACTGACCAAAATCTAGACAGTATCATAGGGCGCATTATTTTCGTGGGGCTAATCTGCCATTTACTGAATTACTAGTACATATTCCTGGGTAAACAAATGAATGAAATTATTTCACAGTAGTCATAAATTAGGTATTTATTTTTAAGATTTTTAACTGTTACCACTGATAACAATGGTTACATGGACGCTTGCGTTGACTATGTCGTTGGTTGTTTTTGTTGCTGCGTCCGTGGCCTCGTTACTCGGGTTGCTGGGCAACGTACGCATTGTACGCTTCTGGCGCTTCTCTCTCGTTCACATTATCCCGTCAGTAGTAGGTAATGTGCTTCTAGTTCATTTCTGTAAATTAGCTCAACAGGTCACTAAAACGAACTATTTCTAGGAACTAGGCATTTTAATACTTTACTATGCAACAGAGTACAAATTAATTTACTATAGGCTCCGATTAATCTGATGTGCCGAAATGCCAACAAAATTTTAAGTGTATATGATATATCTCACTGCAGTTTTTGTTAATTAAGGAATAAATCTTGAGCCCATCTCTGATGGATTTTGGTCAAGTTTTTCATGTTTACATTTAATTCTTCTATTTCAGTTTTTTTGTTCTAAGATACTTTCACTTTGTGGTGTAACTATCATGTGAGCTATATAACCGCTTTTTGCTCTGAGAACGGTATTTACTGTTGGGCACTAAAGGCATTATTATTATTATTATATGTCCAACCGGTAGGTACGAGAGTTCCAGGACAAGCCTTCTCCAAACTCCTGGATTGGCCCTATTCCTTAGCCTCCACGGTCTCCAGATCTAACGCCTTTGGTCTTTTACTTCTGGGGCCGAGCGAAGGAATCGTTTGTAGCGGATTCAAACCAAATAAAAACGCGAAAAACTCAAAAGTCTGTTGTTCCTGAACCTGACCAACAGTTTTCCGTTATTTTGACCATTTAACAAACATGATGTGTAGCGTATCTCTGGAAAGGTAATAAGCCACAAAAGTTATATAAACAAATATAAGTTCAAAAAAGGTATAGTTTTTGTGTAATCGAATTTTGTTTTATTCACTCTATACAATTTTACGACTTTGGAAGGCTATTAGTAATTTTTAAAAGGCCGTAAGAACTATTAATTGACCTGATTAAGCATGCATTACAGAACGAAATCACGTTTATTTTGTGTTATCTCGACAAAGAAAAAAGTTATAACGATATTTATGTGCAATTGCATGGAATTCAGCATAAAAACGAAAAAAGACCATTGCGATTTCCATCAAAAATCATCAAACAGCTTCCCCAACTACTCAAAAAACTTTATTGACTCATGTACCAAACACACTGTATATGTTTTAATTGCTGTTTATTGTACTGTATATTGTACGACGTTTCGGTTACCTCGGTGGCATTTTTCAAGTACAAAGACAATTATTGGCAATATATTTTTGTTTGTCTTCCGAAAAAAAAACTGCCTCCTGGAAGATACAAATACATACAGCCATTAATTGCCCTTGTATTTGAAAGTGGCCACCGTGCTGCCGATATGTCATACACTATAATATATAGAAATTAAAAAATAATGTGTGGTTTGATTTAGCCTACAATAGAGTCAGTAGTTCTAACTCACTCTGCCAACATGCCTCAGCCGCTCCCAAACAGTTCAGAAAGGTCCAAAGACCACGTGAAAGACCACGTGACCCACCCCCATGACGTCACGTATGCCAAAAAGGCATAATACCATGTGACCCGCAGAAATGGTGTGTAATCGTGATATATATAATTATGCATGAGAGAGTGGTATCACGCCTATAGCCTATCTTTGGTAGTAGTAAGAAATTTGTACGGATACATATGCATGAGAGGAGCCTCGCCTAGCCTAGCCTAGCCTAGCCTAGCCTGACCTAATTGCGACCGATGACGATGGTCGACGACGACGACGACGACGACCATCCTTCATGTCATGAGATATGTGCGAGGGAAGAAATGAAACGACAGCGGTAGTGTGATATTGTATTTGAGTTGAAAAAAAATAGTGTGAATCTTAACGTATTCAATCATATAGAAAGCAATGTATATCTGAAGTGTCGAAATGCTTGAATGTATGTTTAAAACTGTTGGAAGAGTATGTTTTTCTTTGAAAAATAACGTATCCCTGTCGTAGCAACTGCCTTATATTGTATTGTCCACAGTACATAATTGTGCCTTTTCGCTTCATTGTGACTGGATGATAGTTCAGATTTTGTCCAATTACATATCCAATTGTTTGATTGTTGTGAGTTTTAATTTCTGTGCCTATGGATAATTCTCTTCCTGAGTAATAGAATGCTGGATACGACTTTAATTCCGTGATTCCATAATTATGTAATTCATACAGATAGAAAACTCCGTCTTCAATGTTGAATATCTGATCTGCAACTACAACTGGTTCATTTTGATAACACGTTGTTAGTGTAAAAAAAGGAATCACTAAAACAGCAACTAAATCCAGACAGTTCATCGCGGTGTTCTTCCTTAGAATGATACCTTCATCTGATTTTTCTTTTTTATACTATACGGATGTTATTATTCTTCATTTAACAGCCAAATTGTCAACCGGTCACAAACCGAACAATATTGCATTTTTCTTTGTCGTATGTTGGTGTATTGAGGAGTCACTTGTATGGTGAAAAAAGTATTTTTCCAGCATGAAACGCAAATATATGAAGGCATTACTTATTGGATGGACACCACTAATCACTAGCAGCGTATCAATCAACAACAACAGCATTAAGCAACGGGAGTATTATAACTAGTAACGTCCACGATTAAACTCACCATTCCAGTTGCTACTACTCATGTGCTATGAAGTACTATGGTGGTGGTGAAGGCTTACTTAATACAGCTATAAATAATTTACCTGTAGAATTACACATCCCAACGTACAATTACTGTGGTCCTGGCACTAAGCTTGATGAAAGGTTAGCCAGAAATGACCCAGGTGTGAACGGATTGGATGAAGCTTGTAAACAACACGATATATTTTACTCAAAAGAAAAAGGTCTGAGTAATCGTCACTTGGCTGATAAGGTGCTAGCAAAACAGGCAATGAATAGGTTTCGTGCAAGTGATTCGTCTTGGAAAGAGAAGGTTGCCGCATTAGCTGTAGCAGGTGCCATGAAAGCTAAAGTAAAACTTGGAATGGGCTTAAAAGAAACCTATGAAAGGCACAAAAAACGTAATATAAACAATTGTTTGAAGACATTACATAAATTAGCGAAAGAATTACAGGGGTCACAAAAACTTGTTCAAGACTCTGTACAAATTCTACAAACTGAACAGTCATGTCAAAAAGATATACTCCTGAAAGATAAGGAAAAAATATATCTAGTGAGAGAAAAGTACAAAAAGTAAGAGAAATCAAGAAACGCGAAAGCAAAAAAAACTCTGACATAAAACATGAAACATCGAAAGTTAAGCGTGGACGAAAACCAAAGTCTGATTTAGAGGACATAAAAGAAAAAATCAATAGAAGAAAAAACCAAAAGCTACAATTGAATACATGGACACTTATATAACAGAAGAGCAAAAGAACAAACCAAAAAAGAGAAAACTGGATTCAGTCACTACTACTACTACTACTACTTTATTGAATGCTGAACAAGTGAAAAAAAGAAAAATAGATTTGGATGATCCGGTTATAATTCCCGAGAAAAAATGCAGTACAAAACGTAAAAGGGAATCTGATGATGAAGTAAAGGAAAACAAACAACGTAAATTAGATATGAGGGACGTAATTCCGTCTCCATGGAACCAACATAACCGAAAACGGAAGATTCAACCAGATGATCATGATGATGATGATTATGATGATGATGATAACATACCTAAGAAAGTTAAAGTTATAAGTACCCAGCAATCCAGACATTTAAACTCAGTAATGAAAATGGCACGTAAGAAGAATGTTAAACCTAAGAAAAGAGCTACAATTGACCAACAACAACAACGACGACGATCACAGCGACAGAAAAAAAATCAAAGTAAATCAAGTACGAAAAGGAAGGTTAGCTTTTCTAGTGCAATTAAACGAATAGGGAAGCATGTGGTAGCTCAAAAACCTACTACCTTTGTATAAGCAATACTTGTAGCATTGAGGGAGGCACAAAATTTGAAGAAAGGTGTAAGAAAGCCGAAAAATCGTATAGTGAAGATACCGAAAAAAGGAGTTGTACTACCACTAATCCCAATTTTTGCTGGCTTATCAGCCCTTGGAGCTTTGTCTGGCGGTGCTGCTGGTATTGCTAAGGCTGTCAGTGATGCAAACTCTGCGAAGCAGCAATTACAAGAATCTCAACGTCATAATAAAATGATGGAAGCTGTAGCACTTGGAAAGGGAATGTTTTTGAGACCCTATAAAATGGGAATGAGTCTTTTTCTGAAACCATACACTAACTGAAACCAGTTGTGAGATGAAGGAAAATGAAAATGAAAAAACAAGTAGTTAAAAAGATTTCAATTCCAAATAGTCACCCGTTAACAAACTTTGAACTGGAAAAGTATGCAAAGCATTTAAAAATACCGTATTTTCGAGGAGTATTTATGCGAGA